CAAGAGATCCACATCTGGCATCTCCATTGCAGACAAATCTCTGTGAACATCTCCGGTGAAGTGCCCAGAATACCTCCCCAGCCCGACAATCTGGCATCCATCATCAAAACCATTGTTCCAATTCATTCCCAATTTCCAGCATCTGCATCAATATTCACCATTCCAGAGCTGACTGGGTCTTGGGAGTCAGATACATTGACAAGTCCAAAGACTCCTGACACTTGTTCCCTACTCACAGGGTTCTGGAGATGCATCAAAGGCAACTAACATCTTCCCCAACCCCCCTGACGTTCTTTCTGTAAGGACTCATCAACAGAGGATTCCTTATCGTCAAAAGCTTCCATATCTGCCAGAGGAATTTCCTCTGATGCCTCATCCTCCCTTAAAAGTGGAGAAGGAGAGTGCCCAAGTTTGCATCCCAGGTGTTCCGATCCAGTGAGAACCCTTGCAATCTGATCATGCAGGTCATGACCAGGGGCAAGAAATACATAGTAGATCATATCTGTATAGGACGGGGACTCTAGTGATATACAGGATGTGAGTCAGGTGGAAACAACCATATCAAGCAATATTAAATCATGAGAACCCAGGACCATATTTTATCATATTTTTTAGGGCAGTTACACCCCATATAGGTCAGCCGATATAAAAGTAGAATTGCATTAACCATAGATCTCCACAAGATCGTGGGGAGGGTCTGTTGTCTTCCATTTAGTCAAAATACTTTTCCTTGCATAGTATGCAGCATAGAAAATAAACAATTTAGTATGTTGACTGGCAGGTAAATTATCAGTTATACCAAGCAGCAGAATCATAGGATCCATTGTAATTGTAACCTCACCAATCAGATTTATGTCAGCAACCACTGCCTGCCAGAAGTGTTGTATCAGCAGACAGGTCTATGTGAATGAAGTTCCCCACTGCTTGTCTACATTTGGGGAAAGTGTTATCATCAGTATGATAAATAACAGATAATCATTGGGGTGTATAGTACACTCTATGAAGAAATTTAATTTGGACGAAACGATCCTTGGCTGAAATCATGAGCGGGATATATTGTTGGAGGCCCTCACTCCTATCTTCCTCCATTAGCTTTCGGAGATCTTGCTACCAGGCTTGGTATAGGAGCTGTGTCTTAGAGATCATTGCTCTTTTTAGCTTTCTATAAGAGGGTAATTCCTCCCACTGACCATCACACTAATGTATCATGAGTTGTAGATATAGTATTTTTTAGCAGGGGTTTCCTAAGACTGGAAAGTAATTTCAAGGGTTCCCCTATGCTGGAAAGGTTGAGAAAGGCTGCTTGAAAGTGTAACTAAAGGCAAAGCTTTGGTAACTGAGTAATGGAGGGTTAGAACCCCTGTTTGTGTTTCTTTTTTTGCCATCTGTGTCTCATGGGGGAGATTTACCTTAATTTCCTGTGCCTTAGCCAAAACAGGGAGTGAGAGGAAATCCCTGGAAAATAAGGGAATCGCTTGGGGTCCCCCAGGTCAAAAGAACTAGTGAACCCATTGGGAAATGTCCCCTTTATTACATTTCTGGGGAAAAAACAAAATTTGGGATTTTCTTTTAAGTTCATGTTCAATGATAATAGTAAACAGGACAAATAGTGAGGACAAATCTCCCATATGGGGACAGACAGCAGTAAAAATCTGATAGGTGTTCTAATACCTCTCCATGCTATCCAAAACTAACAAAAAGGTTTCCATTAGTTATAATTTAAAGCAGAGTTCCACCCAAAAGGGGAAGTTCCGCTTTAATGCCTTTTCCCCCGCTCCCCATTAAGGATTGGTACCTTTGGGGAGCGAGGGGGAGCAGGTACCCGAATATGACAGGTACCCGTTCCCACTTCCGCTGCGATCGACTAGGCGATCGGAAGCATGACCTGTCCTTCCCCCCTTTAGTCTTCTGGGACATATAACAGGTCCCAGAAGACTACGGGGCCATTCACAAAGCGCAGCTCTTCTTGCTCATGCGCAGTGGGCACCTGGCTGTGAAGCCGCATGCTGTCACAGCCGGGTGCCCACACTAAGGATGCCGGTGTCAGGGAGAGAAGACGGCCAGTAAAACCAGCATTGGTGAGGACACACCACTGGACCGAGGGACAAGTAGGTGGCTGTAATTTAAAAGTCAGCAGCTACAGTTTTTGTAGCTGCTGACTTTTTTTTCAGCTGGAACTCCGCTTTAAGTAAATACAAAATATCTTTCTAAATCTCAAATATTGACTGAAAATAGTATAAAAATCCACACACATATATAAATACCCTTCTTCCACCAATAAAAAAAGACAAGAAAGGTATTTATATATTTGTGTGATTTTGTATATTATTTTCAGTCAATATTTGACATTTAGAAAGATATTTTGTATTTACTTCAAGTATAACTAAAGAAAAACTTTTTTTTTAGTTTTTTAGTTTGTATTTACTTAATTTAACTTTGTTGTTATTGATACACCCCGTGTGTGTCCTGTGAAAGCAGCTTCCCTTTGACTAGTATTCTAGTCACTTTGTTTGCTTTTTTGTTTTGTATTATTACAACTGCTGCAGGGACTGCAATGACTTAGTGAGTTGGCATATTTCTATGGTTTTAAACCATTTGACCTCTTTATTAGCAATAAAAACTAACAGGGGTTCTAATCCTTCGCCACTATATCCATCCCAATGGATATTGCATGAGATAAAATACCCCATGGTTTCATGAGATAAATACTACATATTTCGGAAAAATTATAGAATGCGGTATTTTAGAAGATTTTTTTGTGAATGCCAAAAAACACTCAGCGGTATTTTACCACATTCCCTAAAGCAGTAGATACCACTTCATTAATGGAGCCCCTTGTCTGGAGAAGGACTGTCTCACTCACTGGATTGTGTCCAAAGGAAGCAGGAAGATAGCAGCTGTTGTGGGGACTTGTGAGTAGAGACCCTAAATTGATTTCTGTGACTGCAAAATGTTCTGGAAATCTCATCAACTACCAATAGCTGTGCTGTGATGCAAGGTAATCAGATGCCAAAGAAACTTGCCACATGTTCTTCAGCTGTGAGGCCTTAGACTGTCCAATATTTACTATTACCTAAGGAGATTGTCCTCTAATAGTTTTTGCTGATCATTCCCTAAACCAGCCTTTTTCAACCAGGGTACCTTCAGGCTTCTTCAAGGGTGCTTTGGCAAAATGCCTAAAAATTACCCAAAAATTGTATACAAGCCAACAGGTGGATCCTGCCTTTTAGTTACAAAAGTCACAGATTTTCATTGTGGACTTTTATGACCTTCTAGCTGTTGGCATCCCAACCAATGGCATCATCAGTTGATAAGGAGGACATGCACAACATCCTTGTTTGCCCCTTCCCTGCCCCTCTCTGTCAGCAGTCACATTAGCTGAGTGAGAGAGAAAGATACACTAGAATACTAGTCAGTACCACCGTGCAATGGTATATTTGCTGTGGAAGAATAAATCATCTCTAACATTGGATGTGCTGTGTGTGGATGTGTGTAACATTTTAGAATGGGGTGCCTTGAGAATGTGCAGTTTTTAAAGGATGCCTTGACTGAAAAAAGGTTAAGAAACATTGCCCTAGACTGAGCTATTGGAGCTGGAGTATATGGACTGGTGCTTGTGCTGGTGGGAAAACTCTGTACTATTAGGGAAGAACTAGACACATACAGTAAGTAAAATATATCTACTGAATAGTAGTCTGTAAGACGTTTAACAGCTGTTTGGGATCCTACACAGATAAGTGCTTCTTATTGTTCATTGTTGTTTACTGTGTCTTTGGCCTCGATACATTCACTGTTCTGGAACAAGCATGCATCTAGCAAAGTCCGGACTCCAGACCTGGCTCAGTGACTTAGAATGTTTTGAAGCTTTTCGATCAATATAACACCCAAACAACAAGCATTTTCAAAAGGATAACTCAGCAATTGCAGCCTACATAGTAACTGGTCACAGGTTTCCTTTAATGCATACACCTAAGGCCCCTTTCACACGGGCATTCGGTTTTTTTCATCAGTTCAGTCACGGTTTTTCCAAGAAAAAATCGTATCAATTCACATCAGCTTTTCATCCGTTCAAGTCAGTTTTTCATCAGTTTACATCTGTTTCTTGTCCAAATTTTTTTCCATCTGTTTTTCGTCCGTTTACATCCATTTTTCGTCCATTCCAGGTTCTTTTAACGGAAGAAAATAGGGGTTTCTTCAGTTCAAAAAAACAGATGTTAACGGAGCCAGACATTAACAGATGTAAACAGATGATCATCCATTTACATCCACTAGTCCATAGAAATACATGGGTGTCCGTTTTTCATCCGTAAATGGACAGATGAAAAACAGACATATGGAATTCCTGTGTGAAAGGGGCCTAAAAGCGATATTTTTATAGGTGAAACTTATTAAGACTTGGACCCCCAACAGCAAGATCCCCCTACCATAATTCCCAAATGATCCTGTCCACCTAAGAGTTCCCTTCCACCTTTGCATGGTACAGCTCCTTCTGTTGCACTCTCCTAAACCCAAAATAGATAAACTCCAACAGAATGATAGGGAAATAAGAAATTCTCAGGTGGTTTAATTTTCCAGTATCAAAAACTACAATATCAGTTTTGGGTGGACTAAACTGTTAATAAGTTTCCCACTGCCTGCTGCATGTTATTTTACCTGTTTGGCAATCAAAATCAAGCTACCTGACAGTCAGCTATTTATAATAGGTATTCTAGTTAACATTTATGTATTATGTTAGGATAGTTGGGTAGGAAAAGAGTGAATAGAATGAAGATAATGTAATTTATTGGTGAGTATCTTTACAAAAAGCCACAGGCTGAATGAGCACCACTTATATCACTTTTGGGTGGACTAACCCTTTAAAAAACCCTCTTTGGTTCAATTTCCACCAAACACATCTTCCATAAGGATGAATGGCACTGTGTCAAAATACAATAATGACTAACCTTGGTCACATATGTATAAATAATTTACAAATATTTGTTTCTCAAATCTGCCTACAGAGCAAGAAGAACGCACTCGTGAACAGGTTGAACAGTGGCGCCAGTGGCACTACGACGGACTGTCTCCTTCCTACATTTATCAACGTCAAAACATTTAAGAGAGTGTAGAATTAATGTACATAAGGTTTCAATCAAAGAAAATTCTGCTGCAACAGCATCTTCAATTCAGAGCAGTACTAATATCCAATGAGCACAAGCTGTACTTTCCTTGCCAGGTTTCTGTATTACTTGTAAGCTTTCTTCTTTCTGTTGTAAAATTTGTTCTTTCTCTGAATCTTGCTTGCAGGAAAAAAAAAATGTTTGACATAGAACAGCTTGCCAGTCCATCTTGTATTCAATAATACCAGATACACACAGTGCAATTTGAGTGCACAATTTACTTAATTTAGGTTGAATTGTATGAAGGCACAGGCATTGCTGTATTATGGTAAACATACAATCATATATGATAAGCAGAGCCGTAAAAATTTGCATTCACCACAGTTGGATTGTAGTATGTATGCTATTATAGTGTTATGTATTTAAAATGACAGTCCTTGGTTTTAATCAAACACAATCCTTAAATGTATAGAAAACTCGTCCAGTCCTTGTTTCCGGAAAAAAAAAAGGATAACTAAAATGGTTGAATCATTTGTTTGGCTGCTATTGCGTAGTAAGAAAAATTGTATTTTTTTTTTTGTATGGGTGAGATTAAGAAACAAAAAAAACAGAAAGCAGTGTTGTCATGAAAAGCAATGTAATGAGATGAACAATTTATAAATGACACCTGTTTAAGAAGCTGTTGGCACTGTGGAATTTTTAGTCATTTATCAGTCTTAATAGATCAGTTCAGCCTCATTAACATCAACACACAGCAAAGTTTCAAAGTGTATCTGAAATAAACTCACTGCCAGGGGTGGACTGACAACTCATGGGGCCCCTGTGTCCTTGCCCAAACTCAAAAAAGCCTATGAAAAAGTACCAGGGGCATCTCATGGGGCCTCCTACTGACCCCGGGCCCTCGGGAACTGCCCGAGTTTCCAAATGGTCAGTCTACCCCTGCTCACTACAAGTAGCCATGAGCAAAATGATTGCAGGGTAAATTACTTTTGGTCAAGGAAATTTTAGACTAAATTCCCCCTCATTGAGCTGGACAGGTACGGTAGGTTTTTTTTTTTTTTTTTTTATGGGTTTGGTAGTCCAATTAATTTTTTTTTTTGTGTGTGTGTGTATTTGATTATTATACAGTTACTTAAAATTGATTTTTTTGCCCCATTGTCCATCCCAATTTCACCTTCCACAGTGACTCCAATGCTTAAAGTAAAAAATATTAACAAAATGTCTGCACAGTCAATGACATTTCAAGGGAATGAATACTCTTCATTTTGCTCATTTCTAAGGTGAACACATGCTGCTATTCCTTTCATACAGACAGCTTAAAAGGTAACTCCACTTTAATGGGAAAAAATAGAGCATATAAAATCGCTTCACAAGTCATTTTATTATTGAATGTTCTAAAAAAAACAAAAAATCAAAAAAAAAAAAAAACACACCTTTCCTTTTCAAGTTGCAGCACTGCAATTTTCTGAAAAATGCAATGCAGTATGGCGACCTGGAGGGGTTATGTACACAGAATGTATACAGAACACTCCCCAGAAATGTAATTTCCTGCTGTGCAATTGGCCTACTGATTTTCACAGAACTAAGATACAGGTCAGATTTTGAACATCCCCTGCAATGAAAATTTAATTTTTGGTGAGATATTCCCAAAAGGAAATCACATCTAAAAAGGTATACAGACCCTACAACCTTTCTCATTAGAACCCTGTAAGTGCAGCAGCTGATTTATAATAAAATCACTCCTTCACTTTGCACATGGATACAGATAAATGGCTATTTCCTCAGAAAAAAAAAAAAGGTTGAAAACTTCCACAGTTTGTTAAAATTATTGTAAAGATCACCCAGAGGGGATTTTTTTTTTTTCCTGTTTTCACTCAACAAAAGTGGAGTTACTCTTTATTTAACACATTATCCCAAACATAGGACACAGCATGGCCACATCCAAACCTGTTCAACACATCTTGCATTTAGAACCACATGATATTCTATACTTCATTCAGTCCCCATGTTAAAAAAAAAAAAAAAAAAAAAAAAAAAAAAAAAAAAAAAAAGGACTGGGTCTGTAATTGTGTTTACAGTGCTTTTACTATGCAGCTAATAAACTGCGTATTTAGTTTGAACAGTTAGCTAGAATACAGTTATAGTTTAATTTTGAACTCTTCAAAATTAAAGTTTTTGAACCCTTTATGTAGAAATTCAGATAAAAAAAAAGTTGAACAAAGACACAGAAAACATTTATTTTGCTGTATCTTTAAAAGGTGTGAAGCTTTATTTTAATAACTAATTTGTTGGCAATAACTGCAACCATATGGTTTTTGTTTCGCATTTGAGTTATTTTGACCTATTCCTGTATACAGAAATCAATTGAATTCATGCCTCTGAGTAAGTTAGAGGCACCAACTGAATTCTCATGCTGAGGCATCCCATCAGTTTAATCGCCACCCTGCAACAACACTGACCAATAACCATTCTACCAGTGAAATCTACCCAATGACCGCTCCCTAGTAGCCATCTCCTTTCCTGCACAGAAAACTACTTCAGGCCACCACTAAATGCCACTGGCAGGAGACCCACTCTGCACTGGGATACATAAGAACCCATCTCCCAAGATCATCTAGCAGTAGCTTTCTGTAATAAATGTAAAATAAACCAAGAGTCAGTCAAGAGGTCTTATATTTAAATATACTTGTGACTTTTCTGAATGAACACAGAAGTATTCACAACATGCCCCCTCGACCCAATCCCCTCACAACTCCTACGACCTCTCTCCCCCTCCATCCTACACTCCCTCACCCACATCTTTAATCTCTCCCTCTCCTCCGGCACTTTCCCCACCCCTCTGAAACATGCACACATCACCCCCATACTTAAAAAAAAAGCCCTCCCTGGACCCCCCAACAACCTCAGACCCATCTCCCTGCTCCCATTTACATCCAAACTCCTCGAGCACCTAGTCTACACCCGCCTAAGCTCTCACCTCAATGACAACAACCTCCTCGATCCCCTACAGTCCGGCTTCCGTCCCCTACACTCCACCGAAACTGCCTTACTCAAAACTCTCCAACGACCTGCTAACCGCCAAAGCTAATGGCCACTATTCAGTGCTCCTACTCCTTGACCTCTCTGCGGCCTTCGACACAGTCGACCACCCCCCCTCCTCCTCAAAAAACTACACTCCCTCGGCCTCAGAGATTCTGCTCTCTCCTGGCTCTCATCCTACCTGTCACAACGTTCATTCAGCGTTACCTATAATGCTACCACCTCCCCCTCTCTGTTGGGGTCCCTCAAGGCTCCATCCTCGGGCCCCTTCTCTTCTCCATCTACACCTTGGCCAACTCATACACTCTCACGGCTTCAACTACCACCTATATGCCGACAACACACAAATCTATCTCTCAACCCCCCACCTCAGTCTCCGCTCAAATCACACACCTCCTGAGCGACATATCAGACTGGATGTCGCTCCACTTCCTTAAACTGAACCTCTCCAAAACCGAGTTTCTTGTCTTCCCCCCAGCCCGGACACCACCCCCCATTGACTTCTCCATCACATCCAACAACGCCACCATCAAACCCGCCCCGCAGGCCAGAGTACTTGGTGTCATTCTGGACTCCAACCTATCCTTCCAGCCCCAAGTCCAATCTTTAACAAGCTCGTGCAGACTCCACCTCCGCAACATCGCCAAAATCCGCACGTTCCTAACCCCAGAAACCACTAAACAGGTCATCCACTCCCTCATCATATCACGACTCGACTACTGCAACTCCCTCCTCACTGGCCTGCCTCGCCACTGGCTATCCCCGCTTCAGTCAATCCTGAATACGGCAGCCAGACTCATTCACCTTTCCAACCGCTCCATCTCCGCCACCCCCCTCTGCCAATCCCTCCACTGGCTTCCAATTGCGCAACAGATCAAATTCAAAATCCTAACACTGGTACAAAGCCGTCCACCACACTGCCCCGAACTACATCACTGACTTAATATCCAAGTACCACCTAGCACGCACACTCCGCTCCTCACAAGACCTCATTCTCTCTAGTTCCCTGGTCTCCTCCTCCTATGCCCGCCTCCAGGACTTCTCCAGGGTGTCACCCATCCTCTGGAACTCCCTGCCCCAACCCATCAGATTATCACCTACTCTCCTCTCCTTTAGGTGCACCCTGAAAACCCATCTCTTCAGGGAAGCCTACCCCACCCCCTGCTAACTTGCCGACCTCCTGCACTCTTCCTACCACTCCATCCCCCACAGCTATCTCCTCCTGTGCCACCATCCCCTCCATCCTAGATTGTAAACTCGAAAGAGCAGGGCCCTCAATCCCCTCATGTTTTGCATTGTATTGTTCTGTCACATGTTCTGTCCCCCTTTGTAATGTACAGCGCTGAGCGAACTATTGGCGCTTTATAAATACTGTATAATAATAATATTCAGTGTGAGTGCACTGAAGGGATAGTAAAGAAAGACGGGCTTATTTTCTTAACCATACATTACAGAGTTAATAATCATGACTACTTGAGTTATGCTGCCACCTTCAGGTGAATGGACACTGCCCCCCCCCCCCAAAAAAAAAAAAAGGCAGGTAACCCCATGCAGGCATTATTCCTCTTAGCTTAGCTAAGCCTGTTTTGTGCTAGGGTGTGAAGATAGGGGATGCTTCCCTATGTCTGTCTGAAGATCACTTTTTTGTTATTGTTTCTACATCTCATAGCCTGTTCCTTATGTCCCTACTGGGGCAGAGGTAGGCTCCATCTTGACTTGTCACTAAAGCCTGTAGGGATGGGTACCCAAAACCCCACATGCAGGAGCAAGGATGGCTTATAATGTCTGCTGTTCAGCGCTTGACCCTGTAAGCAGCAATCTCTGGTGTACACAGTACCAGAGGGCCACACTGGGAGGGTGTACCACACATTCAGGACAGTAGTTCTTGATGGGAGCAGTCCGTGCAGAGTGCCTGCTGTGATGGGGGATGTTTGGACCTGAAATGGCTCTTCAACATTTACTGGTGTGTGCCTGTTTGTATATGGAGATGTGACGTTCCCCCCTTAGCAGCGTCCTCTGAGTATTTGAAAGCTTTCAGGCAATTGGGTGTAGTGATTCCACTATGGAGTGGCAATTAGCAATGGCACTGCGTGAGAGTGGAGTGATGATTGTGATTACATTATGCAGACCTGCATATGTGCCATTAGGTTCTGGTTCCACACCGTGCAGAATCCATGGCTGAATCAGCACCATTTCTGCCCCCAACCCTAATGACTGCAGTGATACCTACCTCTCTGGGCAAAGCAAGTACCGGAGCACTTGTCACTGACACATAAGGTATTCAGATTTACATTCCTCTCAGTTGAGTGACCACTTTCATCCGGGGTAAAATGGAAGAGTGGTGGGAAGGACAACAATGAGATGGGATCCCAAATTCCTCAGGTATGGAGTTTGCCCCTGTAAAAGGCTTCCCAAAGGGTCAGATTAGATCTTAATCTCTGCCCCTGTCTGAAATCTCCACTTTCTTTATAACGAGGAATTTTCTGTAGCCATATCTGGTATGCACTTACCTTAAAATTGAACTGAAGTCCTGCTAGAGCACTTCAGGCTGGGCCCTTTTGGAGGTATAGCTATGTAATCCATTAAAAAAGTACCTATACTGTTCAAAAACCAGCAGTACACCGTCCCACTCTGCTCTGCACATGCTCACTTGCTCTCTATTTTTTGACACTGCTGGAAATCTAGAGGCCGATCTGCTGAGAGCCTAAACGTTTACTGCTGCTCAGGGGCTCTGGGCTTCAGCAAGAAAAAAAAAAAAAAAAAAAAGGACTAATGCTCCAGGCAATTTACAGCACACACTAATTTTGGTAGCAAAATAATGCAATATGTATATTTCTTGCTAAAGAACATAATTTTATCAAGCTGTTATGGCTAAAGTAGTACTTTACATTCACACTACTGGAAAATTATCCCCTAAAATCAAAATTTGAGGGATCCTAAACCTCCTAGAGATTCTCACAAACTACACACATAGCACTATGGAGCGGGCAGTACCACAACACGTAGGGGGTGAGTGCTTGGGGAAGAGTAGGCATGGCTTTTACAAATTCTGAAAGTTCTAAGTGAAAAATGGTCTGGTCACCTAAGTGACATGCTACGAGCAGTAGAATAAGAGGCAGGAAAAGCACTGTCTGAAATTGTTTAATGTCATACAAAATGGCCTGAATAAATATATATGTAGCAGCAGTGCACTGAATTTATTTGCAGTATATTATACATGGACAAGTTAAAAAAGGAAAGTCACAAAAGAACACATACATATTTACATTAGTTTTTCTTTGATACAAGTCCACTGTTTCACTATAAACAATAAATGTAAAATGCTTTTTGCCATTCATACACTAGGGTTTTATGGGCAATCCACATCAAATATTGACATTTCCATCCCATAATGTAAACAAAGATCTGTCAGCAGCTGTGCTTACAAATATTGTAAAAACACCAAAAGTAAAAACACATTAAAAAAGGAAGCCAGTCATGGAAGAAATAGATAAACTACAATTGCTAACGTCAAAAAATATTAGTATATTAAACCTGCAGGGTTGGCTTGACAGACTGCACACTGAGTTCCGACACCATCGGCATAAGGAATTCTAAATTTCATGATCTACTCACTTATTCTAATTCAGTGACTTAAAATGCATAAAATGGCCATTGGATCAGCAGGAAAGTCAGTTCACTGCCATTTACAGGCGTTCAGCAATGGCAGGCTGCCTATATATAACCAGACAGGTTCACTTTAATTTTGATAGGTAAGAGAAGGTAATGAATGTCCATGACACATGCTGAAAGACTTAAGCGCTCCATAGCTTTCCATTCGAAAAACTAGAATATCTTCAACAGTCATGGTGTGAACAGTGTGACAGGGCTCCAGCGGCTGTTCAGGGTCCCTATTCCAATGCTTATTCCAAACCCAATTGTAATGTTTGAAGGCAGCCAGGTTCATTGACTGAGTTCTCTACCACAACTAGTTAAGGCTATTGAGAAATCTGGCATGTTCCTCTCCTCTTGGTAGCAGTGTTTCCCCTCCAATTTTTGGACCTCTTTTTTCCTATTGGCAAAAAAAAGCAAAAATAAAATTATGTGAATTATGTGAAGGTTTTCCCAAAATATCAGAAAACAAGACGTGTTTATTAAAGACATTTACTTTCTACATCATTTCTAATACTCCTTACTTGAAACCCAGAGATCCTCCCATTGGACAAGAGAAGAGCTCCATGATATTATTATTGTAGAGGACTTATATAGCGCCAACAGTTTGCGTAGCGCTTTACAATGTGGCGAACAGTACAGTTACAATACAATTGAATACAGGAGGAATCAGAGCTTACAACCTAAAAGGGGAGGGTCAAATGATACAAAAAGGTAATAACTGGGTAACTGGAGGGAGCCGATGGAGAAAATACAGGTACAGTTGTTAGGTGAAGGCAGGATAGGCTTCTCTGAAGAGAAAAGTTTTCAGGGATGGTCTAAAAGTGGACAGAGGAGGACAGGGCTTAAAATTTCAAGTCCTGAGCTACTAGCCAGGCCTTAAGAGTTACTCTCCACCAACAAACACACAAACAGAGATACCTGTGTACATACGCGCACATGCACGCACACGTACGCACACACATGCACGCACACGCACGCACATGCACGCACGCACATGCACGCACATGCACGTACGCACATGCACGCACATGCACGTACGCACATGCACGCACATGCACGTACCCACATGCACGCACCACATGCACGTACCCACATGCACGCACATGCACGTACCCACATGCACGCACATGCACGTACCCACATGCACGCACATGTACGTACACACACGCACGCACATGTACGTACACACACACACGCACGCACATGTACGTACACACACGCACGTACATACATGCACACACGTACGTAAATACATGCACACACGTACGTAAATACATGCACACACGTACGTACATATGCACACACGTACGCGCGCGCGCACACACACACACACACACACACACACACACACACACACACACACACACACACACACATGTACATGCATACACAGAACCCTATAAAAAGTTGCATTACTTCGTTGTTCACTCACAGATCCAGGTACTGCACTCTAGGGGGAGGCAGATAGCACAGTACACGCCCCTTCCTTTGCTTTCACTGCGCTCAGCTATGGAGCAGTCTGACAGCTCCCAGTGCCAATGACAGATCCGGCCTGAGCTCCGAGACTGCTCAGCAAGACGGCCCTGGGGGACAAACTCGCCCCACCATAATTTCAACTCGCCATTGGTGAGCAGGCAAGTGGAATTTCAAGGCCTGGAGTAGGAGATAGTTGGACAGATTGGGGTAGGGAATTCCATAGGATGGAAGCAGCTCGAGAGAAGTATGGGAGGAAGTGACAAGGGAACTAGAGAGCATGAGGTCTTGGGAGGAATGAAGAGTGCGATTTGGTTGCTATTTTGAGACTAGGTTAGTGTTGTAGCTAGGGGAAGAGTTATGGATGGCTTTGTAATTTGTGGTTAGTATTTTGATTTTAATTTGTTGGGTGAGTGGTAGCTAATAGAGAGAATGGCAAAGAGGGGTAGCAGACAGTGAACGGTTGGTAAGGTGGATGAGTCTGGCGGCAGCATTCATGATGGACTGGAGGGGAAATAGCCTATGTAAAGGTAAGTCAATGAGGAAGGATTTGCAATAGTCGAGGCAAGAGATGACCTGGGAGTGAATTAGGAGCTTTTTGGTGTCATTGGTTAGGAAGAGGCATATTCAGGAGATGTTGTGAAGGTTGAGACGGCAAGCTTTGGAAAATGATTGGATGTGGAACTGAAAAGAGAGTTCAGAGTCCAGGATTACACCTAGAACCCTGGCATGCAGGGACGGGTTGATGGTTGTGCCATTGATATTGACAGAGAAGTCAGGGGAAGTCACGTGGGGGAGGAAATATTAGCTCGGTTTTGGATAGATTGAGTGTGAGGAAGTGGTGTGACATCCAGGATGATATGTCGGTCAGTAAGTTAGTGCTCCACGAGGAGACAGATGTGAGCTGAGGGGTCGAGAGATAGCTTTGGGTGTCATCAGCGTGGAAATTATATTAAAAGCCATGGGAGGCCATCAGGTGATTCAGGGAGGAGGTGTAGATTAAGAATAGGAGAGGTACAAGAACAGGACCTTGGGGGACCCCCAATGGAAAAAGGAAGAGGAGAAAGTAGAATTGCAAGTGATCCTGAAGGTGTGGTGGGATAGGTAGGATGAGAACCAACGAAGAGCAAGTCATGGCTACGAAGGGAGTACATTTTTCTGAGGAGGAGCGGGTAGTAAACCATATCAAAGGCAGCTGAGAGGTCCAGAGGTAGGAGTACAAAATAGTGTCCATTGGTTTTTTTGCGGTTACTAAATCAATTGTGAGTTTTGAGGGCGAAATCCAGACTGAAGGGGATCGTGAAGGTTATTCTTGATGAGGTGGTTGCTCAGTTGGTTATAGACTAGACCAGGGCTTGAAATTTCCACTCGCCTGCTCGCATTGGCGAGTGGAAATTATGGTGGGGTCGAGAGTGTCCCTCAGGGCCATCTTGCTGAGCAGGCTCGGAACTCAGGGCCGGATCTATCACTTGCACTGGGAGCCGTCAGACTGCTTAATAGTTGAGCAAAATGAAAGCAAAGGAAGGAGTGTGTGCTGTGCTCTCTGCCTCCCCCTAGAGTGCAGTACCCGGCTCTGTGAGTGAAGGTAACGATATACTGCAAAGTTTTATAGGGCTGTGTGCGCGCATTTGTGTGCGTAGGTACACGTGTCTGTGCATACATACGTACACGTGTGTGTGTGTGTACATGTATGTGTGTGTACACGTGTCTCTGTGCGTGTGTACATGTCTGTGCGTGTGTGTACGTGTCTGTTTGTGTGCGTGTATGTACGTGTCTGTATGTAAACCTACATGTATGGGTGGTTTGGTCAGGTTCAGGATTATGTGGTTATTATGGGTGGTAGAGTATGGGGCATTTGAGGTCCTGCTGGGTTGGATAGAAGGTAGGATATGCTTGGTAGAGTTATGGTTTTGAAAGTGAAAGATTATGGGGGGTTATGGTTGTATGCGGTACATGGTCTAAGTATGATGGAGTGTTTAGGGGGACATTGGAGGCCCTGATGTAATGTGGGGGACTCCAGGGACCCTGATGTAATGTGGGTAACATTCAACAGTGTAATTTCATGTAATAATTTACAAGGGCATGTTTAGGGGCGGAATTAGTGGTGTAGCAGGGTAGGGGTTTTGGTGGGGCAACTGATGGCGAGTAACTCTTAAGGCGTGGCTAGTAGCTCAGGACTTGACATTTTAAGCCCTGGACTAGGCAATCCAGGAGTTTGGAGGAAAAGGGCAGCAAGGAGATGGTTGTTAGGATTAGTGGGAACCAAGGAAGGCTTTTTAACTATGGTGGTGACTAGTGCATGTTTTAGAGTATTGGGAAAGGTGCCAGAAGAGAGGAGGAGATTGAAGATGTGAAGTTAGAGATTGTAGGATACAGCCAGAGGGTGACTGCAGTATTTGAGAGGGAATAGAGTCCAGGGGACAGGTGGTTAGCTGGGCGTTCGAAAGGAGTTTAGCAATCTCATCTGTAGTAGCAGGGTAGTGTTGAGTGTACTTGTGGATATGGGGGTGTCAAGTGTGGGAGTTATCTGTAGAGTGGAGATTTCATTGCAATTGCACCGATTTTATTTTTAAAGTGATTGGTGATCTCCTGGGCAGTGAGTGAGTTAGTTGGTGGAGCAGTGGAGGACAAAGAAGAGAATTAAATAAGTAGAGAAGAGTTGACAGGGACTGGATGAGAAGGTGTTCATGAGTGATGAAATCTTTCTGCTTGGCAGTGTGGAGGCAAGAGCTGTATTTTTGGAGGGCAGTTTTATATTTTTTGAACCAGGGGCGGACTGACAATTAATGGGGCCCCCGGGCAATAGGGGATGATGGGGCCCCTGTGTCCTCACCCAAACTCAAACCACACCCAAAAAAAGCCTATGAAAAAGGTAACAGGGGCATCTCATGGGGCCCCCTACTGACCCTGGGCCATCGGGCACTGCCCGAGTTCCAAAATGGTCAGTCCGCCCCTGGGTTGAACTATTTGTGAGACTTAGTCTTACACCACAGACGCTCAAGAGTGCAGCTGCATTTGAGATTTCTGGTATTGTTAGCCAGAGTTGTGGGAGTCAGGGCCTGATTTTGTGTGTAGTGAGAGGGCATGTACCCATTGTTTCAGGTCAAATGAGGAGGTTAGACTAAGACGTTTAGAAGTAGCAGGAGTGTTAGTATTAACAGGGATGTTGAAAAGGCTGAGAATGATTGTGGGAATTTCAGGAGAAAGTACGGTAGCCAGGCACAGAAGTCATCAAGGAAAGTTGTTAACATTCCAGGGGGCTGGTAGATGACAGCAATTCTTAAAGAAACTGGAGAAAATAGACTTACACAGTGAGATTCGAACGATGAGGGAGGAGAGTGAAGAACCTGAAAGATTCTCTGTGGGAAGAGGAGGATTCCTACTCCACCTCCTTTGCATCCACTGGGTCTGGGGGAGTGAGCCCAGAGAGGACCACTGTGGGAGAGTAAAGCAGGAGAAGCCCCACACACCTGTTGGCTATAATACCATATTGCATCAAGCAATGAAGCACTGTTAACAGTTCTGAGGACCAGGGGCCTAAATATCCACAACAGTGGTCTCGAAAACTGTGGCCCTTTGCTTGTTTTTATATCCGGCCCTTGGGGCACTTTTCTTTCCACTGATGGAAAACACAATTTTTCGCACCGATACCAACAATGGGGAATAATTCCTGTTCCTGACAACAATCGGGCACCATTTCTTTCACTTGCACCAACAGCGGGGCACTATAACTCCCAATGGCACCAATGTTGGGGCACTTCTCCTTCCCCCCCTAATGCCTAAGATTCACTGTTTCACAGTCTGGCCCGTTTGAAGGACAGTAAACTGCTTAGAAGTTTGGAGACCCCTGATCTACAACAAACTGACTACTTTGGACCATTTACAGTTTGAAGCCCCCACATTTTCCAATTCACACAGACAGAATGGAGCTGCTATGTACAGCCAGTAATCACCCTTCAACATTTGCATCCTGGAAAATAACTATAAAACATAGCTGAAAATATATATAACATTTGATCAAGTACACCCACCTTAAGCATGCCATCTCTTTCCCATTTGAACAACCCGCAGGTGCTAGTGGAGATAAAAATACAAAAACACAACCAATTAGCTCTGGATGTTTCCATTACAACTAAATAAGTTTAATTAACACAATCCAGAAATTCAAAGTTGATGTGAAGCTTTAAAGGTTAAGCTCACCTTTGGACCATGTTACAAGATCCAACAGTATTTAGGGTGGGACAAAATGTTCCAGCTGCTGTGCCCTCCCCCCAATTCCTCTTCCCTGTGACAGTGAACAAGGACTCTCGCCCCCGCTGTCACTTTAAAAACAGCCATGTCATTCATTCACAGTTTCCTGTGAATCAATCAACTACAAGTACCATCTTCCACCACAGCAAATAGACTTGTCGTTTCAATGGGCTGCGAGGGCGCTGATGAACGCTCTTCATAGTCCACTGACATGTATTCTGCCTTTCCAACAAAAAAGCCCTACAGGAGGTATGGGCTGACAGCCAGAAGACATGACTGCAGGAGCCCACAATGCACCCCCTGATCTACTGATTGCAGGTGCAATGCTTTCCAGGCTCCTGCAGGAAAAACTAACAAATTAAAGCCAAATTCCAGCTCACACTTTATAAGCAATTACAGCTGTTTATTTTCTTTTGGGAGAAAGGTTCTACATGGAAAAGCTGCCAGCTGTAAATGGTTTGTCTCATCACTCCAAAAGCTACATTTGTAAAAACTTGTTCTATTTAAAAACAGACATAATGGCCAGATAACCTGGTGAAAATAAAGACAAGAAAAAAGAAAAACTAGTGCAGCCATAACAACGAAGGATTGATAAGCGGCAATACAATAAATGGTTGTTTTTGTGTTTAATACTGCTTCAAGTCTAAAAAGCATCCTGCACAGAAGACATGAAAGATGGTTTGTGAGACTCATACCTGCAGTGCTTCTTGGGAAGTCTATCTAGAGAGATTGTTCTGTTACCACATGGACATTTGAAGAAACGCTTCACAGCATCATGCCAATGGAAGTCATGGTTTTCACTTACGCAGGTGTCCAGAGGTTTATAGTGAGTGTACTTGCACTGTTGATACAAATGGAAAAAATTCATGAGTTTTCTCTTCCACATACTATCGAGACAAATTGGCTGCACTTTAGAAAAAAAAAGAAAAAAGCATTTGATTTTTTAACTAGGTTTTATACATTAATGACTACTAAACATAAAAAAAACGGAACTAATGCTAAAGGTGAATGCATTGCGAAACAAACACACACACACACACACACACACACACACACTGTTTAGAGTTTTTTTTAATAACATATTTCAAAATTTCTATATGAATTGTCCAACCGTATCTTCAGTATAAAAAGGAAAGAAAAAAAATCTTGCTGGTGCATGTTTATCCATATAGATTTTAAAATAACAAACAGCCATTATACTTACCTGCTCTGCAATGGAACAGAGTGGCCAAAAACCTCCTCCTCTGGAGTCGCCTGCTGACTATCTTGGCTCCTCCTCTTCTTGTGCTGGCTTTATCCTAAGCTGGACTGTGGGTGTCCATAGACACACAGCGCAGCTCAGCCCTGCCCCCTCACCGGATTTGATTGATAGCCACAGGAGCCAATGGCTCCTACTATTGCCTCTCTGTCCTATAAATACAGGGAGAAAGAAAAGATACACTACAGACAAAAAAATAAAAACAAAAAACACACACACAAAGCAGGTCCATAAAGACATGGATTATAGAGTATGGGGCAGAGGAACTTGACTGGCCTGCACAGTCCTGACCTCAACCTGATAGCTTTCTCTATAATGAGGATAAGGTGTTCTAACAGCTTTGGTATTAATGCTGCCTTAACTTTAAGGTATGCCTGTCTTTTCTTTTTTTTTTTTTAAATATTTAAAATAAAACAAAACACAAATAAAACAAAACACCAACCAACCAAAACACACACACACACACACGGGCAGACTCGATAGACCACTCTGTCTTTTTCTGCCGTTACTTTTCTGTGTTTATCAACTGATCATAGCTCAGCCTTTTTCAACCAGGCTGCTTTGGGAAAATGCTTAAAATTGCCCAAAAATGGTCACCAAGCTGATAGGTGGAGCCTTTTGTTACACAAAGCCAAAGTTTTTTTTGTTTTTAATTTTTGTGCAGCATTGGGCACTGTGCAGTGCTTACATCCTAATAATCAATTTAATTTGTTGATAAGAAGATAATTGGTGGTTTGCCCCTCCCCTGCCCTTGGATCGTTATCTTATGCAGGAGAGAAACAGAAGGCAAACACTGGAATGCTAGCCTGTATGGGTGTATAAAGGTGTATTTCCACCATAAAAATAAATCACCTCTAAAGTTGGGTGTCCTGTGTGTAGACTCTGCATTATGTAAACGATTCATTTCATTTTTTTTTTTTAATTTTTGAATGAGATGCCTTAAGATTGTGCATGTTTTAAAGGCTGCCTTGACTGAACAGAGTTTGAGAAATAATGTCATAACGGTCATAAAAAAAACCAAAAAAAAAAAAAACCGCACCAACAGTGTGAATGGGCTCGAATACGTTTTGAGCAACTCCTTGTGACTTAAGCCATCACAAGAAAAGCAGGAAAACTGATAGATTTTTACAATCAACAAAGTGGCAGTTGTGAGGCGAGGAAATCGTATGATCTTTAGTCAGGATACTCACTGTTTTACAGGTTACTACACGACACTTTTGCTCTCTTATGCTCTTCATCTTTTCTTCCAGTTGTTCTTTCTTCACGAGAGGCTCGAAATATTGTTCCTGCAATTCTGCTTCAGCCTTAAATCAGAACAAAATCCAGTTATATCTTAGGCCAAGTTTAAGCAACAAGTGAAATCTTAGAAGCTCCAAGGAGCAGGGCCCTCCTATCCCTCTTGTATTGAACTGTAGCATTGCTGTATTGTCTCCCTTTATATTGTAAAGCACTGAGCAAACTGTTGGCGCTGTATAAATCCTGTATAATAGTAAATCTGCTAATGCTCACTGGAAAGCTCACTACTTCTGTGCTAGTCAACAACCTCCAGATCTGAATTCTATGTTAAAAAAAAAAAAAAACAAAAAACAAAAAAAAAACACCTTTGATCTTGCGGTCATTAAATATTTACATGTATGGCTGGGCAGGAAAAAGCTGTGTCACATATGTGCAAAAATACAGTCTAGGAATACCTGGCCTGTGTCACACTAGCAATTGCATTGCTCAGAACAAGATAAACAAATAAAAAGACATTAAGGTGACATGGTGTAGTACTGTTACACCTGGGAAAGACAGTAGGTCCACTTCAAGGATTAATTTTACTAGATGTTACCTTGAATGTACTCCTAAAAGAGAAGCAGTTACCAGAGGTCTCAGCTTGTAATTTAATGCAGCACTGAAGTTTAACAAACCACTTATGTAACTCTCACCATCAGTTCCTGAGCTTAATGAGGGAAAACCCCACACAACAACAACAGAACAGTTTTGTAAAAGTGACAGTTTACCCCCTCTAAAGCCCACAGGGTGTGTCACCTGCCCTGAGCTCAGGCAGGAAAGAACATACACCCATCACTGAATGGTAAAGTTTCACTAGAATAGTTTAAGGGCGTAGATTCAGTTTCTAACATCCCTGACTGGTCATCATATTCAAAGATCCCATAAGTCATCTAAAACAGAACAAAATTAAAGCAAACTTATGACTTTTGCTTAATCTGCCAATTAAGCCTAAACGAGTTTGAAAGTTTCCATTAATAAAGCAATCCAGTCAACTTCTGAGGTCTACTATACTAAGAAACCACAGGACACAATTTCATAAATGCTAAAAATATTAAAATTTCAGATTTTTGGTTTCCCTATATCCTTTACTTGGCGTACATCACAAGACACAGAGGAGTTAATCATGAATACTTGGGTTATGCTGAAACCTTCAAGTGAATGGATCATCAATTTCATAAATAGGTTGCAACACAGAGATTAACTGAAACAGGACCACCCGTGTAGTAGGTTTAGAACTGGGTGAGGAACAGCCAAACTCTGCAACTAAGGAGAAGTGGAAGATAGTTTCATGTCACAGGTCTATACCATGGCAAGACTAAGCACACCAACAAGTACCAAGAGGAATTGATTTGGTTTTGAAGGCAAAGGCATTTACTATCCATTTTGGTAATTGATAAATATATTTCTAAATGGACACATACAAAAAAGAAATAAAATAATAATAATAATAATAATAGGAATCCCACTCAGACCTAATACCCATCTCAGCTCCAAAAAGTGTCAGTTTTGTAGCAAACACAAGCAACAATAACAGACAAGAGGGGGAAAATCTATGTATTGTGATGTATGCCAAGAAAAGGATTTGTAGGTAAACTAAAAATCCTAGTTTCTTAATCATATATCCCAGGACACAAAGCAGTTGATATTCATAAATAGTTGTTGGAATGTCCCAAAAGCAAGGAAGAGGGGAGAGCAACCCAAAAAAAGGCCAACACGCCAAACAAAAAAAAAAAAAAAAAAAAAAAAAAAAAAAGGACAGGAAGTTTAATGCTGCATAGCCCAGAAAGCACCAATACTACACGTGAAATGGAGCTTCACCAGGAAAGGAGAAGCCTTGCCCTTGACACCATAGGCCTGAGAAAAAGATGACAACACAATGTCCTGATTTAAGTGGCATAAAGAAACCGCCTTGGGTGAGAAATAGGACTGGTGCCTAAACACCACCTTATCCTGGTTAAGAATCAAAAGGATTCCTTACAGGGAAACTCCACCAACTCAGATCTTGCGAGCAGAGGTAATGGCACTCAAAATGACCACCTTAAAATGTGTAATGAGCATAATGGAAACTCTCGGAAAGGATCAAGGATGTAAAACAGACACAAGACCAAGTAGAGGTCCAACAGCTGACAAAAGGGAGCCTAACCTTTGGAAACTCCTTGTGACACCCTGCACAAAGGCTTTAACCAAGGAATGAAATGAGAAGTATGAAAAAACAGCCAAGGCTGAGATCTGTTTCAATGCTGGTATTGCCTGGAATTAAATTTACAAGGTGAAGAAAGCCTTCTAGGTTTCTAGTCTTGAGGAGAACCCCTAACCCTCAAGACTTGGTTTTAATGCTGTTAAGGCCAGTAACTACAAAATAGAAAAGATGATCAGACCCTGAAACAGAAAATCTGGTCAATCTAAAGTGTAAACAGCTCATATGCAGAGAGATTTACAATGTCCATATACTGTACCATAATCTTTGTGGCCAGGCAGGTGCTATCATAATCAGTGGCATGCCCCCCACTTTTATCCACAATAGGCAAGGAAGTAACTGGAGTGGAGGCATAGCCCAGGGAAAATTGATCGCAAAGTGTCACCAAGCATCTACTGAAAATGCTTGAAGATCCCTGATGTGGGACAAGAAATCGGTCTAGTGTGTTGAATATGGATGTCAAAAGGTCCAGATCTAGTGTTCCCTGCTGTAGACAAATCTCTGTAAACACTTCAAGGAAGAGTGCATTCTCCCAGATTCCGCTTTTGACAGCTGAGAAAATCCACCTAACAATTTTCCATGGCAGGAATTAGAGAAAAGCCAGAATGGGCAGTTTTACTCAAGAAAAGATCAGGTCTACTTCTTTCTGAGCAGTAGGACTTCTTGGTATGTCACAGCCATAGAATTATCTAATTGCACCCTGATGGGAATCCCTCTGAAGGTAGACACACCAATGTAGTATAGACAGCGGAATTGCTGAAGTTCCAAGATGTTGATTGACAATTTCTGCTCCTCAGATGACCACGTTCCCTGAACTGAGAGGTTCTCCAGACCACCTCCTCAGTCCTACAGGCTGGCATCCATCATAAAGACCTTCCTGTTTACAGGAAAGAAGGATTTCTCAGTATCCAGCTTCTGCCTGGCTATCCACCAGTCCAGAGTCAACCTGGTCTTGGGAGTCAGATTCATAGGTAGATCCATGACTCCCAACATCTGTCCCATACCAACAGGATATTAAACTCAGAGCTCAGAAGTGAAACTGGGCATAGGAGCCAGCATCGAAGATGGCTATCCTTTTTCCCAGCACCTGCATACAGATTCACATTAAGGGACTTTCTAATGAACTCAAAAGACGCCACCTAGGCTTTAAGAGACAAGAATTTTTCCTGCAGAAGCACTGCCTTTTCCCGCTCTGTGGCAAGTACGAAGCCTTATTACTCCAGATGTTGTATAAGAATAAGGCTGACTTTTGGAGGTTCAGCACCAAACCACTTTAGAACTTGTACTGCCTGCTTGACATTTGGGGGTTTATTTACTAAAGCTGGAGAGTGCAAAATCAGACTCACTTCTGCATAGAAACCAATCAGCTTCCAGGTTTCATTGCCAAAGCTTCATTGAACAAGCTGAGGTTAGAAGCTGATTGGTTTCTATGCAGAAGGGAGTCTGATTTTGGACTCTCCAGCTTTAGTAAATAAACCCCTTGGTGTCAGAGTGATCAAGATCCCCAGAACCAGGGGCCAACACCTTAGTTAACACTTTTGGTGACATGGTGAGGCTGAAAGGCAACATTGAGAGTCTTGATCAAACACCCACTGAAGCCAAGAAGTCTCTATGATGGAGTAAAAGCAGTCGACGATCTGGTAGAGCTCACCACGAGTTTCTGTATTCTCATGAACTTGATTTCCAGAACAGTTTGGCTTCGGAACTGTAAACAGGTTGGAAAAAAGAAGCCAGACCTGTCCTCTTCCAGGACAGGAGCAATGACCCCTTTTTTGTGCTGTAAAGAAAACTGCGCTTTGTGGAACCGAGAGCATAAACTGTGGCGGTGGAAAGCAGCGAAACTTCAAAATTATAGCATTTGGATACCCCACTGCAGAACCAGTAGTCTGACTGGTATCTGGAACCAGTTTCCTAAGAAACTGGAATTTAGGCTTCTGCTTAGAGCTCCAGCCTGGTTTCTTACAAAAGAATCTCTTCTTGGATTCTGAAGCTGTCAATGGTCTATGACCAGTCACCTTCTCCCTAAGGGGTAAGGTATAAATCACCTTTTATATACAGGCATCCAAGCATGGTCCAAACAAGTGCTCGCCCTTAAAGGGCAGCCGCAAAATGTGCGACACCCTCCCAGAACTGGACTAACGTGTGGTAGGTGTCATTCGGATAAAGCGGGGTAGAAAAGTGGTTCAAATAAACATTAGAAGTTGAGCACAGACCTCTTTATAGAAACTGGATTGATGCTAACCCATTGTAATCATAATTTCTATGTTTTGTTTAATAAACCTTTATTGAAACATAAAACGACAGAAGGAACAAGCTCTGTTCTAACAAAGCTATTGTAAGCTGCAGAACTGCTCATACAAGAGAAGGACGGTTATAGAGAGATTCTAACCTCTTATCTGTGGCTAAAGACCAGGGCCTCACCCAGCAGGACTGTCAGTATCTTATTTTAGTAGGAAATTAGTCAGATCAATCGCTGGAGAACAGCATTTCTTGTAGAATTCCCCCCTGTATGGGGCAATGATGAGCAATACTTTGGTGGTGAAATGCATTACCAGCTCACATAATACACTGGAAAGTGACAATAAGAAAAGGAGGATTCTGGCAGTGGTAACTTAAGATTAGAGTGCAAAACACCCACCAGGAAGCCCACCGCGGTCTTATGTCTCAGATGGCCTTGGACCCTGAAATCCCATCTGGGAGGATTTGTCCACGATTCCAGATTATCAATGCTTTCAGCGTCTCCTGGATAATTCCCTCCAAGTGTCATCCTGCCTAAAAAGGGGAAGGAAAGCTCAAGAGAGCCTCCCAAAGCCAGTGAGAACTGCCACTGAGCTGGATCACCCCTACAGTACTCTGCTACCACTGTATGGCGCCTTTGATCCTGCAACTGCCCAGGCTGAACCATCCAAAGCACTTCAAGCACACTGACAAGTCACAGGGAGCACTCAGAGGAAACGATTATTCCACAACCAGTTCAGCTTTAGGGCCCATCACACGTTCCCCCTGCCAAGGCTTTCAGGAACACAACCCCCCTCCAGGAGAATCACTGCCCAGAATCTGTATAGCACCTTTTAGAGAGGTCACCAGCTGCACTGTACGCAGGAGATAACTGCCTCCAGGATCCAGCTTTGACCAATAGATGCTATATAGGCCAACCTCGCTCTTTTATAGAGTCCAGGTATGGTAAACTCTTGGCCTGCTGGCCATAGCAGCCAGCCTGGCCGGAGTTCTCCTCTGCTTCATCAGGGGTAAAGATTGGGCCATGAGTTATGAGAATAAACCCCACAAGAGATATCTTCAGAGATACACAGGAAGGCACAAAACTGAGGCTTAGTGGAGCTGGGAAAGATTAAAGTGTTAGTAAACCCAAAACAGTAAAATCAGTCTGTATATGCAGTAAAGCATGCTTGTTATATTCATTGTGGAACCTAAGGGGTTAATCCTCGTCATTGTGTAAGAAGGCTGTTTGATCCTTTATTCTCTGCCCCTCTTGTTGAAATGACCACCTGATACAGACTGAATTCTTGGTCACATGTACATGCTCAGTTTGGTGTGTATTGCTAGAGAGGTTTTTTTTTTCTTGGGAGGGTTTACGTGATCAGCACAGGGCCAATCAACACTGTCCAGAGTGTCAGAGGTTTCACATCCTCCAAGAGCAGAAATAAAACTCCTATAAGCTTTAACCAGTGCTCTGCTTAAGTCACAAGACTGCTCTAACTGCTGACGAGAAAAGGTATTTAGCAGTTCAGATTTACTAAAAACTGCATTTCCATGTTGTGTGTACTGTGGGAGACAAATATAATGAATGCAGGGTCCTGGGTTTAGTAACACTTTAAGCCTAGACAGGAATTCCGCTTTTTGAAAAGTGTTCATTCACCTGAAGGTGGCAACAGAACCAGATAGTCATGAATAGTCACTCCTCTGAGTTCTGTAATGTACAAGAAAACCTTTTTAGTATTACCTCCTTTAGGACACCTGTGTGCTTTGATTTAGCTTTTAAAATCTTCTGGAACTCCTCAGACTGTGAATAAGCAAGTTGTTCCTTGTATCTCTTCATGGCTGGTTCTTCATCATCAGCTGGAGAAGTCAATCACAAAATGATCAATAGACCATGCAAACAGAGTAGTGGGACATTAAATATAAAAAAATATGTGTGTGATTAAACCTACATTCCCTTTATCCCAGTTTGAATGCAAAGGACATGTCCTACATGACATGGCAAAGAAAGGCTTAAAACAAGCCCATAGCTGTAACAAACATGCAGACCAGGACACTGCAGACTAAACAGACGACAAGATGGCAGCTTCCTTGGCTGCAAACGATCGGAGGGTTTGATTCTGCTTTAGGATTATAGAAGCAGCTGCTAGTACAGATGGAAGCAAATTGCCAAGGCATGGTGTTGAAGATTGGTTTTTAAAATGTTATAGGTTCATAGGAGGACACAACAAATATTTGCTTAATTCTCTGTTAACATTTCTATCCCTACACCCACAGGCTAGACACCAGAGGTTCAGTTTGTTGCAGTGCAGTACTATGAAAATAAAAAAACAATTAAAAATGGGATATTGCGTGGAGGGAGAGAAAAAAACAAAACAAAACAAACAAAATAAAAAAACCACATGCCATGCGGTAAGGAGAGGAATTAGTGAAGATAAACCAATGAAGACATTTGTCTTCAAATGGACTTGCACTAATCACACAAGGCAAAGTTGCAGCCTTTAACACTTCACTAATAGGTTAATTGGCTCCTGTCTAAATTGACCCCAGTATGTGTATGTATGAACGCGAGTTGGGGACCTTATACTCTCCTTGAGGGTTAGGGACTGATGTGAATGTTCAAATATACACTATACTGCCAAAAGTATTGAGACACCCCGCCAAATCATTGGATTCAGGTGTTCCAATCACCTCAATGGCCACAGGTGTATAAAATCAAGCACCTAGGCATGCAGACTACTGCCACAAAATTTTGTGAAAGAATGGGTTGCACTGTGATAAGTTACCACCTGTCAATAAGTCCATCCGTGAAATTTCCTTGCTACTAATTATTGCACAAATGTTAGTTGTATTATAACAAAGTGGAAGTAACTCGGAACAACAGCAAACGTTCACACTAGCCACAGAGAGGCGTTTGGGAAGCGTTTTTGCTTCCCAAACGCCTCTGCCAATTCTGCACATTACAGCACATGGTGCTGTTCTAACAAGCGTTTGCGTCGCGTTGCGTCGCGGCAAAACGGACGCCTCTGGTCGAGTCAGGAGGCAGCCTCCTATTCTCGTCTATGGTGCCGCTCCGCAAACGCCCGGCCGGCGTTTGCGGGCGGTTTGCGACACGGTTGCGGGGGTGTTTGCGGAGCGGTAACACCACTCAAATGCATTATAGGCGTTTGTGGGGCGTTATTAACGCTCGGCAAACGCCTAGCAACCGCCGCTAAACCGCGCATGCGGCGTTTGCGGAGCGTTTGCCGAGCGTTAAAAACGCTCCGGAAAACACCGGCAACGCTTGCCAAACGCTATAGGGGCGTTTGGCAAGCGTTGGCAAAACAGCCTAGTGTGAACGAGCCCCAACTCAGCCACAGTGTTAGGCCACATAAAATGACAGAGTGGGGACAGCACATACTGAAGCACACAGTGCGCAGAAGTTGATAACTGTCTGCAGAGTCAATAGCTAAAGATCTTTAAACTTCATGTGGCCTTCAGATTAGCACAACAACAGTGTGTAGAGAGCTTCATGGAATGGGTTTCTATGGCCAAGCAGCTGCATCCAAGCCTTACATCACCAAGTGCAATGCAAAGCGTCAGATGCAGTGGAGTAAAGCACTCCACCACTGGACTCTAGAGCAGTGGAGATGTGTTCTCTGTAGTGACTAATCATGCTTCCCTGTCAGGCAGATAGGTGTGTTTGCGTTTGGTGCTTGTCAGGAAAATGGTACTTGCCTAACTGCATTGTGCCAAGTGTGGAGGGGGGATTATGCTGAGGGGATGTTTTTCATGGGTTGGGCTTGGCTCCATAGTTCCAGTGAAGGGAACTCTTAAGGTGTCAGCACACCAAGACATTTTGGTCAATTTCAAGCTCCCAACTTTGTGAGAACAGTTTGGGGATGGCCCCTTCCTGTTCCAACAAGACTAGTGCACAAAGCAGGTCCATAAAGACATGGATTAGCGAGTATGGGGTGGAGGAACTTGACTGGCCTGCACAGACTGCTGACCTCAACCTGAGGTAAATATATATTTAAAAATAAAACAAAAAAAAAAACACAAAAACACCAACCACACACACACACACACACACACACACACACACACACACACACACACACACACTGAAGCTGAACACATATAAAGCATCTGCACACTGTGAAGAAAGTACTGCTCCACTGACCAGTTTGAGGAGAAGAGAAGAACTACGCCAGCAGCTAAATGTATAACAGACGCCTACAAGAGCAGAGACAGCCATCATGCAGGGGTAAAAAAGGACTCCTATACTGAGGCCGGACTCATACTGGGGCTTAGTAACCCCAGGAATAACAGTCCCCTATTTTCTACCTGTGCCCCACTGTCCATACAAGGTAACTGCTGTGTGACCCCCTAAAAAAACCCCACCACTTTCATATATCATTGCACAGGGTCCCATTACGCAAGTGCCCACTGGCAACATAACATGTTGTCCCCACATGTCCAGTGCAGGGTCAAGGCACCTCTGAGCTTAGTAAAGCCCTAAGCAATGGATTCAGAATCAATGAGAAACTAGCTATTTTTATGCAGAGACTACAGACATGACCATCACGAAAGACACTAGCAAAAAGCTGAAGCCTTGCCTAGCTGAGAGGGATTATGCCTAGGGGGAGGGGATTTGTTTTGCCAGTGTTTATTCACCTAGAGGTGTTAGCATGACCCAATGATCAAGGATATGAAGATAATCTGTGTCCTGGGATGTACGATAAAAAAAAAACATCATAGCTGCAATGAAATAGGTCTTAAGGGTTTAGAATAGTTTGTCATAGAATACCTGACTCAGACCAGTGGTATACCAGTTCTGGGTCAGAAACTTTACAAAGGCCGCCATGGAAGCAGAAATAAAATGCTCAAATAATGGTAGCTGCTATTGGAAATGACTGGAAAAGATATTGTGCTCTGTGATAGTCTCCCTTCAAAACAACTGAAAAACAGCCATTCAGGGCAGATTACCTTCAGGAGATGTGGTATCTTTGTTTGCCCTTTCAGCCACTTGGTCAATGTCCATTGAGCTGGAACGCTTTCTCTTGATGCTGTTAGGATCCTCTTTTGTGAGCATTTGTCCTTTTGCTTGCAGTTTCCGGAGAGCAGCAACCTGTAAAGGAAGAAAATAAGAATTCTGAACTTACTGTAAAATCCATTTCTTATACTTCATCAAGGGAAACAAGAATTCAATGACTACATTGGCAAAGCCACCTACTAGAGGAAACTGGCTATGTTGTCAGTCAGAACAGTCCTGTGCCGACTGCTCCCTTAGCAGGGAAGGTTGGCAAAAACCCCACAATAGGTATGCCCTGCAAGCAAAGCAAAGCTAGCACAGGCGCCAGAATCTTGGCGCAAAGGATAAGCATATTAGAGCTCCACAAACTGAATTGTTGAATGCCCACAGCAAAGTTAAAGAATCAATGAACTTGGAAAATGGAGACATGCATGTACGCGCATCGATGTAGAGGCCAGAAAGACTCCTTGGCAGGGAGGCTATGAGACCTGGTTGAATCCATGCAGAAACTATGGACCAGAAAAAACAAACATTTAATAGCTTTGAGATTCAAGAAGGGGCAGATGTGCCCTTTTGGTCCGAAATCACTGAACAGTTTGGAGTAGAACCCTTATTTATGTTCTGCTACAAGTACTGGAGCTATGACCCCTTGCTCTAGAAAGCTCTAATGGACTGTATGGAGATCTACTAATCTATGCAATGACACAGGCAGGTTGGAAGCCATGAATTGATGAGAAGCCCAGGGTTTATGGGTGGGCTGGGTTTGTGTTTGCCTATAAAGGTTAAGGACTGGGAGTAATGAAAGGAACTCTTCTTGGTCTCAAAGGAGGGGTGCACCTTCCTGGTCTGGGCCCTATGCTTCTTCTGGGGCAGGTGAATAAACTTGCTTAATAAGGGTTTTCAGGGTAGCTCCTAAGAGACATCATTGAGATGTCCTTTGAAGGACATGCACACAGATGTTTCTTTATATGCCTGTCTGCAAGCCAATTTTTTTTTTCTTTTTTTTAACCAGTCCTCATGTTAACCAATAGGAATCAAATGAGAAATGAGATTGGAGACTTCTAACAAACAGTTCACACAGTAGCAAGGGATCAGCTTGGGACATGGCTGGATATCTTCTCATTGCTTTTGTTCAGTTGGTTACAGTTTGACAGAACAGCATGACAGCCAAGGCAGGTACTAAGAATAGGTCTGCCAGAGAAATGTTTTACAAATTATCTCCAGTCACTTATAGATGGGATCAATAAAAACACAAGCGCATCCTCCAAGAGGATCAATACCTTGTTAATGCAGGATTTAACTGGATACACAAAGGGAGTGGTCCACCTTTTAATACCGCTCTCCTTAAGTATAGGACTACCAGTCATTTGGGAGTAGTGAACAGCTTGTCAGGGTTCTGCCAGTTCCTTTAAAGCAGCAGAATCCTTAGAAAGTTCTTGGTAGGCTTAGGGTTACTAAAGGAACTTTGCTGGAAACAGCGCTAGTAAAGCAGCAGGCTTTAAAATTTAAGGATGTGCAATCCGCTTCTATAAGAGTTAAGACCGTCTCTGCATCTGGCATGACTGAGGCCTGTGACTCCTCAGGAGCAATACCATGCATTAGATACTTAAGAGACTCCACATCCTATAGCTTCTCAAAGGCTGAAGACACGGAGTCTGCCGAGACCAATGGGGAAGGCTTGGAATTATGCTTATGGTCTCTGCAGTAAGGGACAGCAATATAACTTGCAATTTGGCCCATAAAGTTAAGCAGGACTAGGATAAATTCTCCTGTGACAGAACAGAGGAGGGGGCAATGTCCGATAGAGCTAGCAGAAAACTCAGAGGAAGGCAGACAAGTAGAGGGTTACATTCCAGGCTATCAGTTTAGGGACCTTCAGAAGTGCACTGCAGGTGGGAGGTGAGCTGGAGGCACCTGGTGGAGCAGGATTGCAGCTCAGGGACAAAAAGCTAGGCCCTTGAATAATCAGGATAAAGCTGCTGGAAGGAGATATTCAAACTGCTGAAAGTAACCAAGACACTGTAAGGCAGACAGCAGAGACCAACTGAAGATATTCATGTTTATATAGATGTTAGAGAATTAGAGCGCTTTTGGGGTGGTGCATAATTTTGGTTTCATTTGAAGGGCTAGAAGTTTCAAATTCCAAGTTAATTGATTGGCTGTCTTCAGCCTTCCAGCTTCTTGATGAGTTAGCCACAACATTAAAATGCACACACTGGAAGTAAACCAGGCGACTAAGAATGCTGGATTACAGCCCCGGACACTTTCTGGGTCTGTTCAAGTTTCCCCCCCGAGTTCTTGCCCAGTAGAGATGGAATAATTAAACTTTGAGCACCCCAGAACAAGAACAAGTGGTCCACAGTGGAGGACAACTTCTTATGAAACAGGACTTTGGAAAAAGGTGATCTTTATGTCTGCCAGCTACTCTTTTCCCTCCAGATTGATACATGGACCATGTCATCATTCAAAAGCAGTTATGTCTACTTTAGTAAATGAGCATGGGATAGCACCAGGGTTCACCACAGTTGGTTTTGAATATACCGCTTCTTGTTTTACTGGTTACCAAAAACTAAACATCCTCTCCAGAGATTACAAAAAGATATATGCAGATGCCCAAGTCAGGATCTTGCGAGTATGCACTGGTCTGTATGGATATGTTTTCTGAATGGTCAGAAGTTTAGCCAATGGCAAATGCTACTGCAAAGGCCACAGTAAAGAGTGTCATCAGAAGTAGTTTGTAAAGTACAGAGTCCCAGAAACTAGAGAACAACAGAGGAACTAATGTTATAGGAGAGTTCTTACAAGAAGTTTGAGGTTTTACTCAGATCTCAGAGAATGTTGCTGATCTCTTAACGTTTTTCACAAACTAATTTGTGTTTTCTTCCCAAAATTCCAGATCCTAACCTAACAGTTTGGAAGGATCTTGTAAACTAAAGCCAGGTGATTTGTGGATTGTTAAAAGACATTTATACAGTATTTATAGGAAATGTGTGGAGACACAATACAGCTTCTATTTCATGTTCAGTTTACAAAACTTGAAGTACAATTGTAATATTATTGTGATACCTACGTGATCAGGTGTATACTAAAAAAACCCCCAAAAAAACAAACTTCAAATGTGCCGAATAAACAGTTATTTGGAAAGATGCAGAGTATCTTTTGGGTCTTTTCTCTACTGCAGTAGTTATTAATTTGGAACCACTAATCAATATGAGGATAAGAGTTGCCCACCTATAAAATGTCAGTATTAATAGATCCACAGTGAAAAATCCAGCAATTTAGCAACCCCCTTCCCAGCAGAGACAGTGCAGTAAGTTCATATTTTCATTTTTTTCAGAAAAGGTAAAAACTTACTCTTTAAAAGAACTTACTACCAGGATGGTATTCATGCCTTTGACACTAAAGCTGCTACCTAGTCCTGTGTTCAACTAAACAGAAGATCTCTAGCGCAAACTTTTTTTTACATAAATATATGGAAATAAATGTGCTAAGAATATGAACTATTATAATACCTTTTTTGCTTTAACAGAAGAATTTTTTTTGCAAGAAGGAGACATATCAAAGAAGAGAACATCTTCTCCCTCTGTAAAACCACGTGCTAACTTGGGGGTGGACATCGTCTGGGCTTTGGGGAACTCTGCAGCTTGCTTTGGAGACTGAAATATGGCCTGCCCAGCACTTGCAGTAGAACTGGATGGTTCTGTTTTATTTGTGCTCTCAAGAAACCTAACAAACACAAAAATGGTTCACTTGTTTATGAGACAAGATTACATTCATCAACCACACATATTTGGGAATTAGCTAGGAGTCATTTAAAAGTTTACATTTTGCTATAGGCCTATTAATTCGGCAAGAACTTATGATGCTGAATACATATAGCTTTCTTTTGGCAACATGGCCTTGTAAAAATTTTAATTTCCCAGCAATCTACTGGCAAAAAGTAGTAACAAAAATTCTACTTTGCTCAGCAATAGTTTTAAAAAGAGGTACATCCTAAAAATTTTAAATTTTGAGGTGTGCCTTGAACAAAGTCCTCCCCCTCCCCCCCCATCCTCTGGAACTCACTACCCCAATCCATCAGACTGTCACCGTCCCTCCTCACCTTCAGGCGCTCCCTGAAAACCCACCTCTTCAGGGAAGCCTACCCCACCCTCAACTAACAGCCGCTGCCCTTCCCTCCTCCTACCACTTCATCCCCCACAGCCGCTTCCTCCGGTGCCTCTACCCCCTCCCTCCTAGATTGTAAGCTCGAAAGAGTAGGGCCCTCTAACCCCTTGTGTACTGTTTGATGTTACTGTTCTGTTTCATGTATTGTCCCCCCCTATTGTACAGCGCTGAGCAAACCCTTTGGCGCTATATAAACACGATAAATAAATAAATAAACAAAGTCCATAAATGCTTAAAATCAGTCCAATGTTTGCTGTAAGAAACAAAAATTCTATACAGTACTAAGATATTTACAACCTTTAAAAGACAGGCTCAGATATTATCAATATTTTAACTTTGGGGTAAAATCGCATGCCATGGCTACACTTGCAAGGTACATTACAGCCGGTTCCTGCTGAACCGGCAAAGATTCAATTGAAGTGTGACCAGGGAACTATAGAGGTTGTGAATGAACCTTTTCTGGATCTCTTCTGATCTCCGTTTTCTTGCAACCAACAACTGTTGTTTCTGCTGTTTCAAAAGCTCTGAAGCCGAAAGAGACTGAATAGATGATCCAGGTTTAGCCATGGATGCTAAAACACAAAGATGTTAAATTGGGAGGGTTTAAATGCAAAACAAATTTTTTTTTCACCTAAAAGTACAAATGGGTGGAAGTGGAAGAGTTTGGTACCTTTTGTGCCCACGCCAGACAAATGTCTATTCAAATTCAGTGCTCCTGAAGTTGGTATAGACAAAAGCTCCTTGAACTCATCTGAACACGGCACAGCGTTTTTGCTTGCAGCAGCTGAAGAACAAAGTATGTTACTTTAGATAAAGTACATTGCCTAAGAAACGTTACACTAAATACTGGGATAACAAAGTCAAATACCTATTTTTTGTTTCGCTTCCAGTGCTATGGCACCTGCTCCTCTAACTACCATCTTTGTTAAAGTTGTTTGGACAGATTTCTTAGGCGCTGCAGCTGATGCACTGTAAACATATACAATAAGAAGTTAAAGGGATTTTTATTTTACAAAATGTTTCCATATCCAACTGTATAATTTACTTCCAAAGGAGTATTGTATGTGTTGCCAGGGTTAAGTCCAGGGTTATTCTGACACTTTTCTCACACACACATATATACATATACACACACATACATATACATACATACATATAAATATGAACAATCAGCATTTTTTTGCTAGAAAAGTACTTAGACGCCCCCAAACATTATATATTTTTTTTAAGCAGAGGCCCTAGAGAATAAAATGGTAGGTGTTTTTTTATGCCTTGTTGTATTTGTGCAGCGGTTTTTCAAAGGCAATTTTTTTTTTTTTTTTTTTTTTAAATACACTTTAATGAATCTTAGTGAACACAAATATAATACTGAATTTTGTGGTAAATATAATATCGAATGTTATTATGCCAAGTAAATAGATACCAAACATGTCATGCTTTAAAAATGATGCACGCCTGTGGATCAACAACAAAACCACATACATTTAAATTATCCACGAGCGACGTTTTAAAAGCCTTTATAAGTTACCCATTTAGTTACACAGGAGGTCTGCTACTAGAATTATTGTTATTGCTCTGGTGTTCGCAGCGATACCTCACATATGCGGTGTGATCACTGCTTCCATATGTGTGCAGGACCAATGTGCGCGTGCGTGTTTGCGTGCAAGCACAGGGGGACATTTTATTTTTTTTTTTTACACTGTACCGTTATATTTATGTCATCAACTCTATTGCCATCACAAAGGATGAACAACATCCACTGTCTGTAAAAGGAGATCCAGTAGCTAAGTAACTGATAGGATCGCTAAAAAAAAAAAAAAAAAAAAAAAAAAAAAAAAAAAAGGGTCCATCATCAGCTTCAAAAGGTATCGAGATGATGTCTGTAGCTGCAAGGTCACATATGTTGTAGAACACCATTGTTCTCAATGTGCTCTGTTCACACCATACATGTGTCATTTAATGCAGCACAATACACGCCACCACACCGCTGCAAGGTACATTATGGTTCCTGCTGAACCAGCCAAGATTCGATCCATCTATGTCCGGCTTTAGTAGTACTATCTAGTACTATCAGACACCTATTAGAGGCTACTTTGCAATGCTGAAATTAGCAAAACAGATTTTCAAGCCTAAAAAAGTTACTTTAATGACCTTAGAAGTGTATACTCCAAAAGCAACTTTCAAAGTAAGGCAGGTATAGAGAACTGTAACCTCTGATCATTACCCAGGGAAAAGAGAACCTTGTATAAAATCTTAAAATAACCAGATGTATCCTCCAGACCCCTTCTATTTGCAAAATGTTTTATTCCCTCTTAGTATGCTCTGCAAGCCAGTACCAAAGTGGTACTGTGTCAAAACAAAACAACTATTCTGTAAAACTGTCAATTTTTATATTGATTGAACTTTACTGAGAAACATTTAATATCTGTAGTTCTTAAATTACAATGTTGGATTTGATACCAAAATTAGAGATAAGTTGGCAGTCTACTTACAGTGAAGCTGCATATGCCATAGAGGACACACCACCATAGTGAAAACCACTCTGGCACAGTTTCTCTTTCAGGCTGTTTCCTCCCCTAGACATTTTCTTAGGAGCATGTCCAGAATAGCTTGACTGTAGATCTGCTCGTTTGGCGCTCACCTTCTTATACTGAGCTTGCACATGATACTGGCAGTACTCGCAGTCATTCTAATTAGAACAAAACAATGTTTCAGAGCTTAAGGAAGCAGATACATATAATACAGTTACACAGAATGATCATGCTAAATTCCTTCTCTGTCAGCAACAGATCACTGAAACGGCAAACAACTGCTAGCTAAAAAAACAAGTGATGTACTAAGCTGTTGCTGCAGTGGCTATTAATCATAACATGCCTGATTCTATTTAGTACGGTTTGGAGACAGAGCAGCAGAAAAAGACCAAGTGGTCCATCAAGTCTGACCACCCCCCAACACCTTCAGAGTTTAATACACACACACACACACACACACACACACACACACACACACACACACACACACACACACACACACACACACACACACACACACACACACACACACACACACCTTACTACCTTGGGTGGAGTCTGTTTCAAGTAATTTCCATTTAGTCAAAAATAATTGCCAATGTTTGGTTTTACAGCTTCCTCCCCTTATGTTTGGCTTCTTGATCTCAGACACATACTGAAAATTACTAACCTCCTGAATCTTATTCACATTCTGTATTTAAAGGTTTCAATCATGCCCCCCATTTCACCCTAAGGCTGTACATGTTAAGTTTACCCAGGCCCCCTCTGACATGTTTTAACGCTTTTGCCTTGTCCCATTTTGTTGCCCTCTCTCTGAACTATCTTCATCTAATCAGTATATTTTTGTATGCAAGATTTCTAAAACTAAAGCCCCATAGAGTAATATATATTTCCTCCCCCCTTTAGAGGTGTATCCCAAAACTCTATCTATTTGATTTCTCTCCTGTCTGGCCATGCCATTTGGTCATATTACAATTTTTTTGAGCACCATTAAAAAGGACAAGTTCACCTTTCATAACATGTTATACCCATATTCAAGGTGTAACATGTTATGAATGGACTGGCCCCCGCTCCTTCGCTTTGACAGCAACCGGGGGGGGGGGGGGGGGGTTAGGGGGAATCAGTTAGCCATCAGTCATCTGTGAATGAGAAAACTACAAGTCCTGACAGCCGTGGCGGCTGTTGGCTTGTAGTTCTCAAAGAACTACGCTGGTGCTGTGGTAGTTCACCGATTTTTCTTCGGCCAGTAAATCTTGCCCATACAAGCAGATATACTGACAGGTCAAGTGAAAGAGCCATTCACTTGACCATATACTGCACAAAAGATGGCCTACACCTTCTAATAATTAATGCATTAAAAACAAGCATCATGTTTATCGGTCACTATCCTTACACTGAACTAGACAATTGCATTTGGAGTATATTTTCGTAGTTGCACAAAATGACAAAATGCAAATTAGCAAGAGAAATCTCATCCACTACTCACGGCTTACAAAAGGTGCACAGCCACCTTAAGTCTATAGCCAAGTGTAATCACAAAAGCAACATGTCCTGACTTCCACATAAAGCCTGAAACCCATAGACAGTCATGTGTATCTTATTTTGTCAGATTCAGTGAAATAGTCTTTAGTAATGAAGAGGTTAATGACAACCTAGAAAGATTTTGAAACTATGTAGAAAGTGACAGAATAAACTGGTCACCTACCAGGTTGACCATTTGTGTGCAGGGATCACCATTCTTCTTACGAGCTTTACATGTTCCCAAATCCATTGCTTCTCCCAGTAACAAGATCTTTTGTGGATTGTCAACAGACAGGCACACCTGTTGTGAAAAGGGGAGATGCTTGCAATTACAGCAATTTAAACTTCAATTTTCTTCCTGATTCATTGAAGGCCACAGGAGGGGGTCTTATAAACCTTCAAGACATTTTAAAAGCAGTCCAACTGATGGGTGGGCAACAGCACACAAACAACGCTAACAGGACACAGGTGCTTCATACCGAAAAAGCACTTCCAGATCTAGAAGAGTGTGCTTTGACAAGAAAAGAGGAAACCCAATCCTTGTGAGGATAAGTGTGGATGGGGGTCTACTGGAGCCACCTAGAGATGGTGGAATAAAATGCTGATGCACCTTACAGAAGACTATTCAGGATGCTAAATGTGAAGTGAAAAACATGGGTAATACTGCTTGTGTGCATTAAAATTAAAAGTTTAGCTAATTATTTTACTGAAAATTGTGCTAAAATCCTGACACACAAAAATTGGAACATCACCATTTTATTCCTCAGGGCCCAAGTCTGGTGGTTTTAACTAATTTTTATGCCAAAAATATTTTTAAACAGAGGTCCTAAAGAATAAAATGGTAAGTGTTGGATATTTTTATGTTACATGGTATTTGCACAGTGGTTTGCCAAATGCAAAAACTACAATTAATTGAAATGCACAAAAACAGTATAAAATACCCAATTTCTTTTTTGGTAAAACATAAAAGATATTATGCAGGGTAAATAGATATCAAACATATTATGCTTTAATATTGTGTATGCCTGTAGAACGGCGCCCAACTACAGGTACCTAAAAATCTCCATTTTTTTCTTTAAAAGCCTTAATTATAGGTTACCAGTTTAATTATACAGGAGATCTTCCGCTAGAATTATTGCAGCAATACTTCACGTGTGTGGTGCAATCGTTGTTTACCTATGTGTGCAGGCCTGACTGCGTTTGCCTTTGTGCACCAACATGGTGGGCAGGGGTGCTTTAAGAAAAAAAAATATTTTTTTTAAATTTAACTTTTTTACAATCACTTTTATTGCTATCACAAGAACTATAAACATCCCTTGTGATAAAGCATGATAGGTTCTCTTTTTGGAGAGATCTGGGGTCGAATACAAGATCACAATGTGATCTGATGCTTGTTTATTGAGCCTGAAACCGGGAGTGATGAAATCCTTGTCACTTCCAATTTCTGGCATCACACAGTGCGAGGAACAACACCCATTTCTGCCACTGTGCCTCAGGAACAGGATGCTGCTGAATGCATCCTTAGAGGGCTCCCCGATTGCACGGGAGAGCCCAGTAAAGGTGGCGACGGGAGGGGGAATCCTTTTTCGTCACCTGTAAAAGTAATCCAGTGGCTCTTTATCCTCTTGGATTACTTTTACAAGCCAGATTCATCAGCAGAAGAAAATGATATCTGTCAACACAGCAGCTGCAACGATGACCGAGATATCACCCTTACCATCCAAAGATGTTCGCGTATGTCCTGTTTATGGGAAGTGGTTAAAGTAATCAGATCATCATATCAGAGAAAATAAAATGAAGTCACATTTCCTAACATTTTTTTCAGGAAAGCAGTTTATGCTGCTGTATATATTGCGTATCCCTCTAGTCAACACGCTGGAAAATGCTTTAGAGCAAAGAGGTTAGTGGTTGATCATACTAATTGCTGTTTAAAGTTTTGATACAACATACCTCTTCTGAGCCTTCTTTTGGTTTCATAGGATTAGGATTTAAAATACCAATGACCACTCCCTGATCTGTTTTCCAGTGCTCTTTGTGTACATCACCAAACAAGAACAGAGATACACACATATCAAAATTTTTCAAGTCATTCAGCCTCCAAATACTAAACGTTTTGCCCTGTAAAGAAAAGAAAAAAAAAAAAAAAAACCACAAATCAAATACGGTACTTAAGACAATATTAGAAATTTTAATGCACAAGCTTAGTGGAATGAATTGCGAGATTACAACTAATTGCCTAGTAAGCAGAAGGAAATGTTCTCTTGTAACACAGCACCAACTGTTTACAGTCAGGCTAGGGGATGGAAATGAATGTAAAAAATACAACATGATTACATCAGTTTCCAATATGGTGAAAAGAAGAAAAAAAAAAAAAAAAAATCTGATAAAAACTATCATAACGCAAGTATCTTTACAGCATAAAGACAAACTCAGTCTATAGGACAGGGACAAGACTACAGGGGTCCTTGTTTAGCATGCATACAAAATGCTTGTTTTGGCTAATAGTTATCTTACATTATTAGAGCTCTGAGGAGTAACCTTCTTGACAATTACACCAAACGTAACCCAGTCTTGGTCCTCCAACTTTTCTGTTGCAATTTTGTTCTGCAATTGGAAGAGTCTGATCAGCTTTCTGCCACTCATTTTCCGCTCCATTTCTAAAGATGACACACGGGGTTTCCTTTTTACAAAACACACACACACAAAAAAAAAAAAAAAAATAAAAAAAAAAAAAAACATGTCATGAAGAAATAAAGCAGCTTAAGTGTGAAAAACAGAAAAGCAGAAAAAACAAAAAAAAACAAACCCAAAACAAAAACACTGTACATGTTAGAATTAGGCTTTTAATAGTAATTCCAAGGGCCATTTGTTTAACCACTAGACCTCTGGAAGGTTTTACCCCTTTTATGTCCAGGACATTTTTTGCTATTCAACACTGTACTACTTTAACTGGCAATTGCTTCGTCAAACAACACAAAAGAAATGTAATTTTTTTTCCCATACAAAACGAGCTCTCTTTGGGTGATTTTTGACCACCATTGGGTTTTCTATTTTTTACTATATAAACAGAAGAAAAAAAAAAAAATCAATTTCTTCATAAATTTAGGCCAAAATTGTATTCTGCTATATGTCTTTGGTAAAAAAAGAAAATCCCAATAAGTGTATATTAACTGGCTTGTGCAAGTTATAGCGTCTAAAAACAATGGTATCTATACTGGAATTTACGCAGCTATGATGCTATACTAGCAATGGCGGTCATCAGTGACTTATAGGGGGACTGCAATGGCAGGCAGTCTGGGAGTGTCATTGACACAGATATGATCAGTGACAATACTGTACTCTGACACTCCACTAATGACACTGGCTGGGAAGGAGTGAACATCTAGGGGCAATCTAAGAGATAACTGTGTGCCTAACAAAGTGTGCTGCCTTTACCATCTGGCTGTTTTTTTTTTCAGGGAGAACAGCCAGTTCTATGCGTTTGTAAACAAAGAACTCTGTGCGTGATTGGGCAGAGCGGATATCATTGGCTGAAATCAGCTGCCAAATTTTGTTTTTTGTCCAATCACTGCACAGTTCAGCAGGGGAAAAGTTTCCTTTTAGTTTCTTTCCCCGAGTTAAAAGAAACAGTTTCAATTAGTTCCGGGGAAAGTGACAGCTAATTCTGTGAGCTATATTGAAGAGAAAAAAAAAAGCTGTCAATTGCATTTAAAAACCGGCACCGACATATAGTGACAGCCAGTGAGGGAGACTCTCTGTATACACTGCTCCTCTCCTGCCCCCTGCTTGCACACACTGCCCCCCACCCCCTCCCCCCTCCAAAGAGGACCTGTCACTCATATGCTATCACATAGGGGACTACTAGTCCCCTATGTGATAGCAATAAAATCATAAGTTAAAAAAAAAAAAAAAAATTTATAACCTGAAAGTATATACCTGAAAAAAAATACAAAAGAAAAAAAAAAAATTGGAGTCTCTCCAGCCCCACATACATTTCGATTTTCGAATACATACATTCTGAATTTTTGGTATCGGTTTCGGCACCAGAATTTTCATTTCGGTGCATCACTAGCAGGAAGATAATATACCATAAGGAGGAGTTGTATTATCCCATTTTAAAAGGACAGAAAATAGTGGGAAAAAAGAAAAAACAAATCGAAAACTTTATCCTATATCCTGATTTATTATACCTGAGTCGCAGTCCAGAGAATTTTTCCAAGGACACCTGTTGGCTGGAAGGAGTTTTGCTTGAGGCAGGCTGGGATGAGGCTACTGCTGCAGGGCTCGTTTTAGCAACAGGTTTTCCAGCCAGAGATAAATTTGGAATTTTTTTCTGTGGTGGGCTATTATTCTCTGCAGTATGGGAAAAAAAATGCACAAGATTTAGCACAAATGTTAGAATTCAGGAAAGAGACAAAACTCAATGTAGAACTATGTATTGTTACCAGACATTGGAAGCTTTCTTTTTGCAGTTTCCTGAGGTTTCATATTTGAGGTAGATGGACTGACAAGTTGAGCAGCAAAGGCACTGGACTCTTGCATAGGTTTAATATTCCTTTCCTTTAAAGGGCTGAACTGTGATTTTGGTGCTACAAGCAAAAATTTTTTATGAGAGCAAGAAACATTTCTGGTAAAAATATAACATAGCAGCATTTACAAGTATCCAAAATCAAGTTAAAATACTGACCAAAATAAAATCACAACAACTTGTTATACAGTACAAAAGTAAAATTTGCTCCAATGCATCAATCTCTCTTCCCACACATTAGCGGCTTTAACTCCATTGACTTTAATGTTTCTGCAATCTGTAAGCCCACTGATAGCCTTCTCAATTGGGTTCAGACATGCATGCATAAAGACCAGATGAAAGGATTGGGCAGGTGTGTTGGGAAATAAACTAGAAGTTTTTTATTTTAGGTTATTATTGCTTTGTGCCCATCAGAGATTTCTCCTGACTTCTTGCCACAGTAACAATATGATCATAAGGACACAAAGTAAAGGAACATCCTCCACATGGAACACAGACATTTTTTAAAAACTGGACAGGAGTTCTAACCATTTCTTGTTTCTAAAGCTGCTAGAAAAGTTTGGCTAGAACTTCACTTTCACTTCTTACTTATGTTTTAGTGAATTAAACGTTAAAGTGTTACTAAACCCACAACAGTAAAATCAGTCTGTATATGCAGTAAAGCATGCTTGTTATACTCACAATGGAACCTAAGGGGTTAATCCTCTGCATTGTGTAAAAAGGCTATTTGATCCTGTTTTCTCTGCCCCTCCTCTTGTTCAAATGTCCACCTGATAAGACAGACTGAACTTGTAGCCACATGCAGTTTGGTGTGTATTGCTAGAGAGGTTTTTCTTTTTTCCTAGGAAAGTGCATGTGATCAGCACAGGGCCAATCAGCACTGTCCAGACAGAGGTCAGGGGTTTTGCATCCTCCTAGAGCAGAAAGAATACTCCTCCTGCAAGCTGTAACCACTGACTGCGGACACTGATAGAAATCACAAGACTGCTCTAACTGCTGATGAGAAAAAGGTATTTAACAATTTATATTTACTAAAATAATTGCACTTCCATGTTGTGTGTACTGTGTGAGAGCAGATATAGTGAATGCAGGGTCCTGGGTTTAGTAACACTTTAATGGGATTTTGAAGCCGAAGTCCCCATTTAGTAGGAATACTTTCGCATGATCCATGCTGCAGTACAGTTCACAGAAATGCTGCTCCAGGCATTCATTTTGTGCCTCCACTATAAAGCCTACTTTAGGGAGCACTTTGCAAATAATAGGCTCAGACCACAAAACTAAACCCACCAGGACCCACAAGGAACCCTATTTTTTACTTTCAAAATATTTCTTAAATATATTTCAAGCAGAAAAACAATGAACAACCCAGTATATAAAGATGCAACAGCTTGTGGAAAATAATTCTTTTTACAACAAATATCCTCTGACACCCTGTGGTATCCAAATTTTCCCTTTTTTTCCCTTATTAATTATAGCTATCATTTGAGTTCATTGAAAATTAAAGTCTCATAGCTGAAAAAAAAATAAGATCCCAATGCTTATGTAAAACTCTGAGAACTGTGCCTATTATCTTGCAAATTACATTTTACACATGGCACAGAAGATGCAGTCTGGATTTGATAGTTCTGCTGCAAGCTCAAAATGTGTGTTTGTGCATAAGTGTAAAACTGTAGGAAAATGTCAAATATTTGCTCACAAACATATGTGAGACAAATGGAAGTGGTATACAAGATAAAAGACCACAACCCAGAAATATGACAGACATGACTCTTCACCCTTTTTGCCAAACCATTTATTCCAGCATTTATACAGTACCTTGTATAATACAATCTTGTAGGTCATTAGACCTCATATTCCAAAATATTGGATAATTACACAAAATCAAATGAAACTGCACAAATCACCTGTTATCCTCATGTTGTTGGCTGGTGATTTCCCAGGTAATGCAGCGCTTGGTGACTGAACAATCCCAGTATGCTGAAGCTGTTCTTGTAGCCTTCTCATTTGCTCCTGCATTCTCCGTAGCTCCTCTAACAGAGAATAGCATGTCATTACCACCAACCAGGGTTAGATTAACTGCACAGGTTTTTACTGCTCTCACAATCATTGCTCCAAACAAGCGTCAATATGCTTGCTTCATAAAAAGACTCCATGGTCAAAAGTCAGTAAATCTTAGTTTTGTAGGTTTTTTTTTTTTTTGGCAGTATGGGGATGAGTAAAGCATGGCTACAGTCATGTGTGAGCTAATGAGGAGACAGAGACCCGGGACAGCCGCTGCTCATGCACATAGCTGGATCAAGATGAGACTCAGATAATTATAAGGGGGAGCTACACCCAGAAAGTATTTTACATTAATGCATAGAATGCATTACAGTAAAAACCTTCTGTCTTTAGAACCACTTTAAGGCACAAAAATCTGACATTTCAAAAGCTTTCACGTTTAAGAAATTAAAGCCCAGTTGAAGCGCCAGCCCAAAATGCTAATATTGGGGTGCAGAAAAATTGTAAGCAACTGTTGAAAATATTTGTTTATTTAAGCAGTTGTCTATATATTTACAAAGATCTCACACTTTTAAACTAGAAAGTAATCAACTTTTTCAATTGAGCATAGTTTACAACAGGGTATTTACAGAAAGAAAAAAAGGACTGCATATTGTTTAATGCAAGCCACAGATGATGCAGTAAAGCATATTTCTCAATTCTTCAATCAAAACAGTGTAGATGGGGGAATCCATACTGTAACACTATTGTGTTCTGGCAGTGGGAAGGCTCCCTGTCAGCAGAACACAATGATCACTGCTGGTGGCTACAACCGACAGTTTTCTCAAGCAAGAAAAAAAATCTGACAGGCTTGTTGTACAGCCTGCCCATGGATTAATTGAATCTCGGCCAGTTCAATCCATCTATGGCCAGCTTTAGTCACAATACAACCTAAGGGCATGTTACACAATTACTACACTGCAGCTGCATGTGCTAGAATATTTGTAGATTTTGGTGTGAGATGTACATGCAAGAAATACAGTTCACCCTAAAACAATTCCACTTCTGCAAATAAGCAAAACCTACCTTCCAGTTCCTTTTTAGATTTTTCCTGAGAGGGTGAAGAGGATTGTGTATTGTTTTGGAAGCATGTTTATCATCTTCAAGATCATCAATATCACCAAACAGTGTACTAAAATCTTCTTTCACCTCAGAGTCCTGCTCTTCACCTGCACTGTCACTTTCATGGTAAGACCCTTCTTCATCGCCATCAAACAATTCATCATATGCGTCAGGCTCATTTGAAGCATCAGAAAAGTGTGAACCACTGCTTTCAGCAGCTTCATTTTCCTCCAGCAGGGAAGTCAAAAGCTCCAGGTCAGCGTTATCTGGTGAGATGTACAGAGAACATTTATAGGACTGCTACTGAAACCATTATAGTTTAAAACAATAGATATTTGTATAAAATGAGCTTTGTCTGTAGGGCAAAACCATCTCTGAACTTTCTTATACCAAAGGCATGCAAGTTTTATTACAAATTTGAAATGCATAATGGTACAAATTTACTACCATCAAGCTGCCTACATTTTGGGATGTAAAGGTGCCTCTCAATCTGAAAGATTTTCAAACTATTTGCTCATCAACAAGAAATGGCAAATCTAAATCTCCCAGATGGTGAGTAACCATGCTAAATTCCAACCTAGTATTTACCATTAGTGGTGCACCAAAATGAAAATTCGGGTGCCGAAACCAAAAGCGAAAAGTCAAAATGCACTTGACCGAAAATCAAAATGCGCAGTATTTAAAAATGAGTATTTTTTGGAAAAAAGATACACTATGATTAAAGAAAACTATACCACAATTGTTTTGTAAAATATGTAAGAGGATGTTACTGCGAGTAAATAGATACCCAATTGTCATGCTTTAAAATTGCGCGCACGATCGTGGAATGGCGTGAAACTGCGATGCTTAAAAATCTCCATAGGTGATGCTTTAAAAATTTCTGCAGGTTAGCAGTGTAAAGTTACAGAGGAAGTCTAGTGCGAGAATTATTGCTCTTGCTCCAATGTTTGTGGCGATACCTCGCATGTGTGGTTTGAACACCATTTACATACGTGGTAATGACCCACGTATGAGTTCACCACTACGTGCGAGGACGGGGGCACTTTAAACTTTGAAAAAAAAATTGTATTTAATGTTTTTTTATTTTTGCACTGTTCCTTTTAAAAAAATTGTAATCACTTATTCTTATCACAAGAAATGCATGCATCCCTTGTGATAGAAATATGGAGAGATATGAGGTCAATAAGACCCCACATCTCTCCTCTGCAATGTAAAGCATTACATGGTATAAAAAAAAAAAAAAAAAAAAAAAAAAAAAAAAAAAAAAAAGCATTGATCTAGTGCTATAAAAATAAATGCTAAAAAATGACCGGAACCGGAAGTGACATCGCTCCGGTCCTCCAAGGGCAAAGATATGTGTGGTGGCCATCTTTCCTTCTCATCTCTATGCCTAACGCCGGGATCAATGGTTTCTCAGGTAAAACTGAACTACCGAGCGACGGCGGACGGATAACTTTGAGGGGTGGGGTTATTTTTTAATTTCCCCCAACAGTCGAAAAGGGTGTTTTTGGCAACCAGAATTTCAGTGTAGCCCTATTTACCATCTGGAGGAATCATTTACTACATAGACACAACAGCTGTAGAATGAGTGTAGAACTCTAGTAGTGCATCTTTAATTCAGTTTATTAGGGTAACTAGCTGTAGTTGGACACACAACAGTTTTCCACTATTGTGCAATCAACACATGAATAGAACCTGTGGTCACTTAAAACTATTATTCTAGCAACAATGCTCACAAATTGCACCAAAAAAGGCCCATTACAATTCTTTACTAAAACACAACAGTGCACCACAACCTGTGGTAATGAGTTGTTGCAACACACAAGCATTAGCAAGATGCGTTGAGGTGCCATTCACAATAAATGGCACTGCAGTGGACATGAGTTTGAGTAAAGCAACAATGTGTTTAATGTGCTTCCAAACGGCACAAATGTGAACAGGCAATTATTTCTTTCATTATTACAGTTTTAACTTTTTATTTTTTACTACTCAGGGCTTTACTGAAATATCAGGGGTCTGAACAGATCTGATCATTGCAGGGTGGATTCTAACAGTGCCCAAATATGTCCCAGAGTGGTGGACAGCCACTGCCTCAAATCTGTAGAGCACCCTGGCTGAAAGGAGAAGGCAGCTATCAGGTAGCTGGGTAGATCCCAACAATATTGTTAGGATCCTTCCAAAATGTGGCATGACTCTGCACAGATAGCTAAAAGCGGTCATTAGTAAGTGTACTTTTGTGACCTAAAAATATTTGGCCATACATAAGGAAGAGAAAAGGTAAACAAAATAGGTTTTCTGATTTCCTTCCTACAATATATAATCTAGTTTACACAATCAAAGAGGCACAGTTGCCATGCTGCTTTACCAACTTGAGTTCTAAAAACACAAGAGATGAATGAGCCTCCAAGCTAACATGTTGTCCAGAGGTGTGTTATCCAAAACTCCTTTGCAAATTCTGAATTAAATAGGTAATATATTTTATGTGATTTGAAACAAAAAAAAGTGCCAAAAGATAGCTCACCTTCCATTATTCTAATAGCAGCAGGGACTCCACCAAATTTGATACCTAAATAGAAGGCGAAAAAAAGTAGTCAAAAGTCAAAAAAAATGGACATGCAAAAATAAAACATTATTAAAAGAATAAAATCACCTGTTGCAGTTAAAAAAATGTGTAACTATTATTTTTATTCTAAAAGGAGCCTGCAAAGCATTGCACCCGCAATCAATATGTTCCAAAGGGGAACTTCTCCTGTAACCACTTGACCTCCGGAAGATTTAACCTCCCTTCATGACCAGGCCATTTTGTGCAATTTGGTGCTGCTTTACTTTGACAACTGAGCGGTAATGGAAGCTGTACATAAATTAAATTTATGTAATTTTTTTCCCACAAGTATAGCCTTCTTTTAGTGGTATTTGATCACCTCTGTGGTTTTTATTTTCTGCGCTATAAAATGAAAAAAACAGACATTTAAAAAAAATTTTTTTTTTTTTGTACTTTCTGCTATAAAACATACCCAATTAAAAAAGAAACACAAAAAAAAAAAAAAAAAAAAACTTAAAATAAAAAAATCAAAATGTATTCATAAATTTAGGCTGAAATGTATTCTGCTACTCATTTTTAGTATAAAAAAAAAAAAAAAAATCCCAATAAGCATATACCGATTGGTTTTACAGCGTCTACAAATGGCGGTATATATGCTGGAGATTTATTTTATTTTTTTATACTATTAATGGCAGTGATCAATGACTTATAGCAGGACTGTGATATTGCGGCAGACAGTCTGACACGGACATTTTGTGGGAAACCAGTGACACTAATAGTAACCAGCGCTTAAAAAAAATACACTGTCACTGTATTGTTGACACTGCCTGGGAAGGGGTTAAACATCTAGGGCAATCAAAGGGTTGTGTGCCTAGCCCAGGGCTTGACAAATTCCAGGCACCCGATTGCAATGGCCACTAGAAATTTCATTCTGGCGCCAAAGTTCATACACACTTCATAGACTTCTATGCGAAAACGCCTCCCATAGTCTTCTATGCGAAAACTCCTGTGAATAGCAATCCTATGTGAACACTCATATCTGCATGCCACTATACTCTTATCGCTTGCGAGTCTGGAACGCACCACTACAAACTCGAACAGGACCCTTTTCATAATGGCACTCAAAACAAAATGCATGTGGATCACATCTGGGTGAACCACCTCAATAGAAACACAATATCTAGCCTGTTATGCGAATCTGAGTTTCAAAACTAATTCAGAATCACATGTGTGAACCAGGAAGGTTCCATTCACACCTGGGCATTTTGGGATCACAGCAGAATCGCTGTGATCGCATAACACATGTTCAGGTGCCAATATTTCCAGTGGTGGATAAAACATGGTGCGGTTTTGCCATGATTGTCACGTGGCAAATCACATTGCGTGAAATCCCAGACGCTGACAACCCATGCTACGCTAAAAACCCCCCAAAAAAACTGGCTTCTAACTTTTTTAGCTGCCTCTTAAGATTCAAAGCAAATTTGTCAAGCCCTGGCCTAACCAATAGTAACATGTGGACTATATGCGGTTTTTTACTAGGCAATCTGCTAGATTTTATTCCCTAAACAAATTCTAGCAGATCTCCGTTGACATAACACAGCTCTGCCTTTTTTACATAGGCGGAGCTGTGTTAGGTCAGTCTCCTCTGCGATCAACAGGTGCCGGCGCTTATTCATTGCCCAACCTCTTGATCGGCTTCTGCTGTGTCCAATCACAGCAGAACCAGTGCTCTGCAGCAGGTGCGCGCCCCCCAGTGGAGGAAATGCAAAATCACATTTATATACATGATTTTGCACAGACTGTTCACCCTATAGCAGTAAATTTGCTATAGGTGGAAGGCAAGTGGTTAACCACTTGCCCTCCTGAGGATTTACCCCCCTTCCTGACCATGCCATTTTTTGTATTACAGTGCTGCGTTACTTTTAACTGACAATTGCACGGTCATGCAACGCTGCACTCAAATGAAATTTACATTCTTTTTTCCCCCCCCATGAAAAAGCGCTTTCTTTCGGTGGTATTTGATCGCCTGTGCAGTTTTATTTTTTGCGATATAGATATTTTTTTTTATTTATTTCAGGTACTTCTATAGAGCCGTCAATTTATGCAGCATACATTCACATCAGTCCCTAACCCTCAAGGGGTATACAATCTAAGGTCCCTAAATCACATTCACACATACTAGGGCCAATTTAGACAAGAGCCAATTCACCTACCAGCATGTCTTTGGAGTGTGGAAGGAAACCGGAGTACACCCACACAGGCAGAACATGCAAACTCCAGGCAGGTGGTGCCGTGGTTGGGATTCGAACCAACGACCTAAGTACTGCCAGATGGAAGTGCTAACCATTTAACCACTGTGCTGCCTATATATATATATATATATATATATATATATATATATACACATATATATATATATATATACACTACACATATACATATATATATATATATATATATATATATATATATATATATATATACACACACACACACACACACACACACAATGGTACCTCGGTTTACGAATGCCTCGGTTAACGTAATTTTCACTTGCAGAGACATCAGTTTTCATGCGTACGCCAATGAGTTTTATACACGTTGCAGATTCCTGCATCGGATTTAATGAATGTCTCTTAACAAGTGCGATTTGCTGCAGCGCGATTTCAAAAGTAGTTCTTGTATTACTTTTTCTGCAGTTTGTTGTGATTTCACATATAAACTAC